ATTATTTGCTATTACTGAAATATCACAATGGCCTGAAAGAAATATTTCCTCAGAAGCAAGAAAATTATTGGATTAAATGCTTATTCCAAATTTTTTTCACATTAGAATGTATTATTTAATTATACAACTATTTTATGTATTACTTTTCAAAAACATGACATTGACTTGATTAAGAAGATGAGAATGGCGGAGAACATTTTATTAGAACTCAAGGATATTAAGGCTAATGTTGATGAAGAATTTCATATTTTATATGTTATTGTTGAGTCAAAAGCAGAGCTATCGACTTGCAGCAAGGCAAGCTCATCGTTAAAACATTAATATTTAGGATCAGTAGAAGGGTATATCTATATTTATAATCCAAATAAATGAATGGTTTTTAATTCATCATGCAACACTTACCAATCTGAAAATATTACTTCCACAAAAGCCTTCCCAACCTTTTTCAGATGGTGATAGAAAAAAAAATATTTGTTAGATTTTTATCATGAAGATGTTAAAGTATCTTATGTTGCCTTATTAGTTGAATAACTATGTTTATAAGATTAACTATGGATGATATAGTTCCAAAAAATGCTATGGATGCTCTACATTATTTCAAACACATTTTAGATTATATTTCCTATGTATTAAAAGGGTTTATATATCTTAGCAACTCTTCCCATTAGTAAACTAATGAGAGAACATTCTCTTTTTAAAGAAGAATAACAGATATAGGTAGAGGTACCATTTTTAGGGCACGGCCCGATTTTTTTAAAAAAATTTTTTAGGCTCGGCCCGGCTGTTTTTAAAATAAAATTTTCATGCCCGGCCAAGGTTGCCAGGTCAAAATTTTCAAATTGCGGGAGAAATTTGGTATTATGCGGGAGAAATATGAAAATTGCGGTAGAATAAAATTGCTAAAAAAATTTGTTTGCGGGCCTATCCGCATATTATTTTTTATAATTAGTTTATATCAATACAAAGTCTGTAACTATTTTTCAAAATAAAAAAACATCTTGATTTATTAAAATATATTAATTTATAAAAAAAAACCAACGATCTTTTTTAAATATAAAAGAATGTCACAAAATAAAATTTTATAAAAAAACGATTTTAAATTTACAATTAAAAATATATTTTATGCGAATGTCCCGCAAAACGACCGCAATTGGAAATCTACCGTGTGTGTTCATAGCATTATAGGGATAGGCGCTTAATTATCACTTATCACGTTTAAATACATAAGAAGGTATTCCAAAAATAAGAAATAATACAGATGCCACTACAGTTGAGGCAATTGTAATCACTTATCTTGTAGTACAACATTCACAGAGACACTTATCATCACAATGTTGGTAGAATCTTTTTCCCATAATATTTAACGACTCTAATATAAATGAAAACTATACTCGTAGAACAAAAATGAGCAAAGCTATCATCAATGTTTTAGGACTTAAATTCAGGAGGTCAATTCTTGACGATTTGAAAGATGGGCATACATATGCAATTCTGACAGATGCATCTAATAAGGGAAAAATTAAAATATTTCCCTTGATCCTCCGCTAATCAATAAAATTAAGGTCTTTTCAATAAAACTATTAAATTTTTTCCACTCAAATAGTGAAAAATTTAAAGACGTAGCTAACCATATAATGATAAATATAGCAGATTCGAGATTATCAATAAATTGTATGTCAGCCTTTCTGATTTGTCAGTGAATTTGGTAAAAACATAGTGTATTTACAGAATTGAGGCAGCACAATGTTGGTTGCTATATGTTCCTAATACACGCCATCGTATAATTTTAAAATTTTATAAACCTTTAAAAAAATATTTCTTAAATAAAGATTATAAACGCTGTCCTAACATTTTGAAAATTTTCAATAATGAATGGCAGAGATATATTTAGGAATTATTTCACATGTAGGAAATATACTACATGCTGTTAATATGTAGTTGCAATCAGAAGAATCTTAATAAAGATTCACAAAATTATGCTGCAGATGTGTTCATCTTTACAGTTAATAATTGACAATAAATTTTATGGCGCCATTCCTAAAACTTAATTATATTTTATTTGAGATTTAAATAATAGAACTAAATGCTTACCGTCGTTATTGAGATATTTATAAAATTCCTGGCATGACATATTATATATTTGTTTAATCATTAGCTCGGCCTCTAATGTTGTTAAAGCAATCTGATTTCTCTTTTTTCCAGGCAGTCCTCATCAGGTTAAAAATGAGCTCGGATGAGACATTAGAATGAGGTAAGGAGAAGACATAATCGCATACTTTTTCCAAGCATGGGGATTTATCGTTATTACGAAAAAATTCCACCCATTTCTCCTCTGCTTTTAGACCATCTAACTTCAAGTATTTTGGCGAATCCTTAAAAATAGAGAGAATTACAATTTCCTCAAACAAGACATCAGTGTCTTTCGGTATTTTTGATATATTTATTAAATTATAAAAACCATCAATTGATGGTTTCTCCAAGGTCATAATATTTATACATTTGCAAATAGAGTTATTAAAATCAAATTTTGATTGTAAATATTCTAAAATTGTCTTATTAAAAATATCTGCTTCATTTAAAAATGTATTAATTAAAGTAATATTTGAACATTTTAATATAATATTATTAGCAATAGCCCCATAAAATATATTATCAATTTTTAATTGTAGAGATGAACAGAGCTGTAGCATGATTTTGTGAATCTTATTTAATAAAGAATATTCTGATTGCAACCTATTAACTACATGAAGTAGATTTCCTACACGTGAAACGAATTTCAAATATGCTTTTGCCATTTCATACTCGAAAAATTTTTTCAAAATTTTAGGACAGCTTTTAAAATCTCTATTTAAGAAGTATTTTTTAAGAGTTTCTAAAATTTTAAAATTCTATGGATGGCGGGTATTAATGACAACCACCTGATAGGTATATATCGCAACAACTCACACCATTCGAAGTCAGACCACTTCACCAACTCTTTTAATTCATTAACTCTTTTATTTGATGAACTAAATTCGTTAAAACATTTAATCACAATTATTACGACATCCACAGATGGTACATTCATTGCCTTCTTGCAAGAATTATGTAGTATATGGCATATAAAGCCAATTGGTATTAATTCATTATTGTGCTGCCCCAATTCGGTAACTTTGGTTTTTCCCAAAATTTACAGAGGCATTATCAGCGCAGAAAACTGACATGTAAATCATTGATAACCCTGAATCAGCTATATTTACATTATGTGGCTAGCTACATTGTTGGATTTTTCACTATCCGAGCTAAAAATTTTAACAGTTTTATTGAAATGTTCTTATTCTTGTAGAAATAGAGAAGGATCGAGGGAAATGTTTTAATATTTCCCTTATTAGATGCATCTGTTAGAATTGCATATAGATGACCATCTTTCAAATCGTCTAGAATTGACCTCTAGGATTCAGGTACTAAAACACTTGTGATAGCCTTGCTCATTTTTGTTCTGCCACAAGTAAGGTTTGCACTTATATTGGAGTCGTTAAATATCATGAGAAAAAGATTCGACCCACTGTGATGATATAGCTCTGTGAATGTTGAACTACATGATAGATGTATACGATTTCAGCAAATGTAGTTGCATCTGTATTATTTATTATTTTTGAGAATATTTTTGTATTGCAATCGATGTTGATATACTCCCCTGTACTGACTTATATATATGAAAAATTTATTATTAGATAAAAATAAAACAGGATAGAAAGAAATTTACAAACTGGACATGTTTTTCGAATAAATATTTAAAATTTATTTTAAAAATATAAAAATAATCAATTAATGTCGCTCAAAATTATTTTTTATATATTAAAAACGTTAAAATACTAAAAAAAAAAATTTCGGGAGAAATTAAAAAATTCCGGTAGATTTTTGCGGGAGATTTCCAATTGCGGTAGAGAGATGTTTGCGTGTAAACTAAAAAATGACGGAAATCTCCCGCAGATGGGGGGGGCATGGAAACCCTGTATGTGATCAAAAATTTCATTCAATGACTATTTAGAAAATTGAACATAGCCTCTTGGAATCTAACTAGACATTCGATTACTGGAGAAAAATTGAGAGCATCAAAAAAAACAAAAAAATTCTCACAATAATTCGTATTTAATTTGATATTCTCAATATTACCCCTGTCAAAACCGGCTTGATAAAAAAGATAAATTAAAAACTAAGCTCAAATACTTTCCAAAATCAGATGCCAATTATATGAAACATATATTTAATGAACTATAATAATAATGAATTCTTATATTTTATATAAAGTTTACGGAAATATTTTATACCAAATAAAATGCATTTCTGGAGTCTAATTAATTTATTCTTGCGTAAAACATAAATCAAGTTATCAAAACCTAAAATAATTTTTATCTTTAAATAAAAAACTCTATTTTATAATGCTACTTTTGGATATGAAACATTTTTACTTAAATTATTGAAGATAGAAGTTAGAATAAATTTTCTTAATATTTTAGGGTAAGAATGATATGATATCTTTCTACCCATTATCTATCAGATAAAAAAAATTCTACATTTTTATTTGTTGAGAATTGATCATATAAATTCTAAAAAAAAATCTCCTGAAGAACATTATGATTGATCAGAATCTTTTTTTTAAATATCAATCGACATTTACAAGATTACTGAAAAGTTCCACCAATTTGGAAGACCTAGCAAAGGCAGGTGAGGACTCGTTCACACATTCAAAGTTTAAAAAAAATGCAATTCTATCATTTACTCACAAATTACATTTGCTGTCTTACCCTATTTCAGCTTTATCCAAAATATGGAGTAAATCAGAAGATTTAAAAAATTTTATGGCAAGGTGAAAAATTCGTGCTATTTAGTTGGGGTCTATCAAAAATTGAAGCAGAAAAAAATATTAATGTATACTCTCTACATAATTTTATTAAAATACCAGAATATTACATTTTTTACTATTTTTATAAAAATCTAAAATATACAATTCATTATTTTAAAAAATATGATTTTTCAAATGTACAGTAACTCAGTCGTATACTAGGATTAAATTAAATTTCCCAATAAACCAGGACATTTTATTTGTCCCTTGGTTATAGCGTCACACATTTTCAATAAATCGTAATTAATTAGATCAGAGACATAAGAATCAGCTTTATAATCTGGATGATCTCTAACGAAATCTCTAGTCCAATGGGCCATGGTAAACAATTTGCCTTGATTAATTAAAATAATAATATTTATAATCTTAAGATGTTATTAATATATAAGTAACACAAATTATCTTTCTTATTCATTACCATACCCATTAAATAAGGAAAATGTTTGTTTTAAAATGATTTCCTACCTCTTTCCTTATGACATATGTCTGAGAATTTAGAGTATAAATAACGAAGAAATCAAAATATCTAATAATCGCTTTAATCTGTTTTCCATCTTATTCCCATGTCAAAACATTATTTAAAAAAAGTTTATTTATACCCCCCCCCCCTATCATAGACCTATCCTGAAGACACTTTTTTATTAACTCATGAAGCTTTTATCGAAATATTTTGTTTTAGAAAATGTTTTTATCTAAATTTTGCCCAATCTTCATGACTTAGATTGATAATTAACAAAACAAACAAATTTAGTTTTTTCTTAACTTTATACAAGTCTTTTAAAATATAATAGCGTTCAAATCTATATTTTTTTTATCCTATGAATGTAAAATATAAGGCCAAATAAAACATGGAGGTGAGGAACGAGCTATAAATTGTATAGTTAAATAATATTTAAAAAACTGCCTATTTATACTGTTTGAGATTTTTTTTGCAAAGGTTTTTATCTGAAATAATTATGGATAGGTTGTTAGATTGTCATATTATTCTTAAAAGACAGGGGCTCAAAACAATGAGTTTCCTTTCCAGTTCTGGGGAAAATGTTATAATGTTAGAAAAGGGAGAAGAGGACAATGTCGGTGATAAGAAATGTGATTATTTGATGGAAGAGATTAAGATAAAATATGTTACAGTTGTTATATATATTTTTTTTTATGAAATTAACAGGAATAAATGGAAGAATTTACCTGAGGCCCTTTTTTCGATCAATTCCAAATATCGATTTATGCAACACAAAGTCTTATAGTCAGTATCCATATTGTTTAAATATATATGAATTAAAGGTATCAAACCTGGATAATCTCCCTAAAAAAAATAGAAAATTATGAATTAAGATTTAGAAAACAATGTATATAATGTTATATTTTTTAAAAATATAAATTGTTTTTTTGTAAACGCAATAATCAGGTTTATTATTAATAAAATTGAATATGATTATCAAACAACCTAATAAATTCATAATAGAACTTAATCGAAAGTGCGGATATTTAAACAAAAAAAATATTTAGCTTATTCAGTTTATATCAAGTATTCTTGCTAAAAAAAAATTTAAAAAAATAAACTATTTGCAACAACCTTTCCATTAAAAATTTGATTAAGATTCATAAATCTCCAGTCTTCAAGGAAACTATTAAAATCACCCCTTTTCGTTGATATGTCGACATTATTTAAAATAATAATTTCATTCCCATGGTGTTGGTGAGTATTTATTATATTTTTATAACGAAAATAAAAGTTCCCATCCCGAACCGCGTTCAGCTTTTGAGCTTCATTCATATTTTTTTCCATCTTAAACATTTTTTGTTTTAAATAAATAATGATTTTCTATAAGGATTTTTTTTTCGTAACTTAGGTTTAATATGAGCCAAATAAATTATTAAAATCTTTTATAAATAAAAAAAATACTTTAGAAATAGGGACAAGAAAATTAAGCTTGAACGAAATGATAACCCTCGTTAACAAAACAATAAATATTGCATACGCAGCATTTTCAAAATCTGTCAATTGAACCTAAAAAGTAAAAACATAAATGACAAAAAAATATTAGATTATTACTTTAAAAAGAAATTGTTTTCAAAACCTCTTTCCCTTAACCATCATAACCTTTATTTTTCTTCTAAATTTCCATAAATAAGCATTTTAGTTTTGTTGAGAGTTTAATTTTGAAACTCAGAGGGGTATATTGAAAAACTAATTTTAAGTACAGTATTAATAGTAACTTAATAAAGAATCTAGATAAACCAAAATTTTGTATCGTTAATCTAAATACACCTTTATAAAAGTGTTTCCCGGCGGGAATTTTTTTAAAAAATATATAAACTAGTCTGTTAACTTTAAAATATTTTCCAATATTTGTCAGTCCCGACCCGATGGCTTCGGCCGCGCCGACCTTAAGTCACTTTTAGGGTTGTTTAAAAAAAAATCACGCTCAATAGGAATTCAGATAAATCATGTCATTATAGCTATATTATTGTTTTAATCCTCCGCTATCATTTAAGGCCTATGATTATATGAAACTTCGAATAGCAATAGGCATAAATTGAATACGGTAAAATATTGAATTTACTTCGATTGGACGAAATTCGACTCTCCAACCCATATCAGAATTCGGTGGTGAAGGTGGTTTGAGTCTTACAGTTTGCCAAACAGAAGAATTAAGTGTCTATTGTTAAAATTTATAATTAAAAATATATACAATATGTTAAAATAAAATTTTATTTTTTCCCTCCGTAGCTGTTCCAGGAACTTATAATTTTCCTCAAGTTCCATTCCAGGAACGTATCCAAAAAGTTCCGCTCTTTAATATTTTTGATTACCCTGATATTTTAAAACTATTTTAAAATAAAACAATCAAAATTTTAATAACTTGGAAATATTTTTTGACCAAAATAGCCACTACTTTTCTTGAATATTCAAAAAAGAAATTCACCTTCCATGGCAAAAATCTGGCCCACACTCTTGGTCTACCCATTTTTTTAAAAATATTCATCAAATGTTTAAAATTTTAACCTTGCATAGTAGGCTTATTTTAAATCAAATCGAATAGTAATAAATATTAATGTTATATTATTTGTTTTGTACAAACACGAATAAACAATTATTCGAATCGAATAAAACGAAAATAATTATGTTTTTTAAATTTAATAAAGTGTCATTTCTACTGATAACCTGTCAATCTGACAGATTTTGCGATGGTCGAGTGTTTGAATCGCCAATTTAGAACTTTGCGGTCATTAAATCAAATGTCTTACCCTGCTTTCATTAGCACGAATTCTCGCGAAGTATAGAAAATTATTTTTATGTACTTTCCCGTAAATTCGCGTTAACTATGAATGCAGGGTTATAAAGAAGAAATAACAATAAAAACACTTTGCCTTAAAACTTGGCCAGCTGGCAAATATGCATTCAAATTTCGTTAATAACTTGAATCGCATGTCCTATATAATTAGCTAGGAAGATTTATTTGAGAAGGGAAGGGGCAAAAGTTTATTTGATTTTTAGGGGAAGGGGTTATCGCCCTCCCGCCGGTTCCTACTGGGTTAAAAATTTGCACTTTCGATTCATATTCGTGTCTGAATAGGCCTAATGCAAAGTCTTTCGATATTATTTAAATGATAAAGTCGTATGCGCTTATGATATTATTTCCAGGATTAAAAATATATTGTAAAAAAAAATGTTGTAATGGTAAATTTTATTTTTTAAGTTTTATAAATAAAATTCATTTAAATATTAATTTTAAAAACTTCAAAATGGTTGTAATCGTCATCAGATTGAAATATATCCTCTTTGTTGATAAGTAAAGGATCTCTATCATATAGATGAGCAATATGTAATGCTAATAAATCATTAACACCTTTTTTTTTATTTAAAAAAAAAATTGTCTATTGAATCGAAAAAATTTTTTAACTTTCAAAATAATAAAAAATATTAGAAATAAATAGATTTCCAATTTTTTAAGAGAAATGATTTTTTAGACAAAAAGATGAAAGTTTCAACCAAAGTCAAAGTGGCGGTTATATTAAAAAATATGTAAAATAATTTATTTCCATAATATATTTTTAAATATATTTATTATTTAAAACTTAATATTTTAATGAATCATTAAACAGCAAATTCTATGTAGAATCCAAATATGTAAGGATATCCCTATTTATTTATTAATAAAGCATGCTCATTCTTTTACATATAATATTCGTTAAACCTATTGCAGGTTTGTATAAAAATAAAATTATAATATTTTAATAAAAAAAAATTGACATTTATTTTTATTTTGTAATAAGATATATAAAAATATATAAATATTTTGTCACATTTCGGACATTGCCAATGATTTCATAATAATGCCCAGACTGACCATTCTTAAATGTGAATCAATACAAATCAACTGCTGATTCGCCATTTTGGTTTCCGATATAATAAATTAATATTCAAGTTTCATGAATATTGGAAACCAAAATAGCCTGTTACGTTGATTTGCTTTCAACAATGCTCCTAAATTTATTAAAGCATGAATCGTCTGTCTAGGTAAGCACTATATGTCTATTGGAATTTCTCAAAAAAAAGCAAAGTCGTTACATTTCGCGTTACTTTGTCGAAATTTGATTAATGATATTAAAAAAATTCCTCTTTGTCTAGCTTCTGCTAAATAAAATATGTAAATTAAATCATATTTATGGGTGCTACTTTCAATTAGAGGTCTAAAAATGGCAAAATTTTTTAGACCCGGTCAGATAGGATTTTGTTTTTAGTCCACGTTCGGCGAAAAATAACTAATAATTATGATAATTTAGGTTTCGATTTTCTTATTAAAGTAATAAACACAAATTGTAGAAAAGGAAATCGCATGAATGAATGATCATAGTAGCAGGTAATAAAATAATTATTAAAATAACAGCCGCTCACATTCCGAACCATCTTGAACCCATAAATTTATCTCAAGTATATGGCTTAAGACCTGATGGTATGACAACCATACCGGCCCTCAGAAAATCACTAATATGAGACTACACATGCTTCCCCTCAAACTTTAATATTCACTAATAAAGGCAGAAACTAAAAAGATTAACAAATACAAAAATTTTAACAACTTCATTCACCCCAATAAAGAAAGAAAGTGTCTTCTACAAATGGACATTTTTCGCCATTAACATATAAGTTTTTAAAAAATCTAGGCAATAAAATACGGCTTTTACAAACGAAGCCAGAGAATTTTTATAAATGCGTCAAAAAAATTTAAATATAAATTTTTAAATATAGTTATGGTTCCTTTTTTGGAACTCAATTATAAAATTGTAATTACATAGTTCTTTGATTTATATAGTATTTTTTATACTGTTTTATAGTATATTTATTTAATTTTATATTGATATAAACCAAATAAATTTTATTTAAAAAAAATAAATATATATATTTCAAAATTAAGATTTAGAATATTTTTTTTTCTCTTCTCAATTAGGCGGGACGGGCACCACAAATAAAAAAAAAGTTCAAACGTACCTGACCCAGCCCGGCTCATGGGCTGGGTATAGCAGATCTCTACATTCAATAGCTACTTTTAGAGCATTTATTATAGGTTAAATTTTATATTCTATTGATTATAGAAAAAATTATCAGAAATGAGAGTTAAAGTATCTAAAATTATATATAAATAACTGTCTAACAATATATGATGCTATGATACTTTTTAAATTTTTTTATCATAGTATTTATTTTTATATTTAAGATTTAAAGTTTCATAGCTTAATATTCTTTAATTTTTGGAATATTCGGAAGGTTTACATATTTCGCTTTATACTTGTCGACTGGGCACATAATGATAAAATACGTAAATCTTTTATACATTTTATTATCTTTTTTATTTTGGACGTACCTTTTTTAGACTTTGATTCTCATAATAGATTATCTAATACAAATAATATACATTAATTTATTAGTATACCCTCGTCAGTCAATCTTTTATATATTTTAGTATCATTCAATACAGAAATGTCATTATAGTAGCTGCCCATTGAAGAGATATAACAGTCTATTGAATCATACCTAGACTTTCTCAATGTGGATGACTTTTTCCCGAATCGCTAAAAAAATTATTATTTTTATTAAATGGCTGTAAAATGATTAAAGAATCACCGGTAATGATTAGTCCAAATTATACATCTAAACCCTAACAATATCTTATACTAATCTTAGCTGGCGCCATTAAAATGATACTTATGATCCTCAGCCTTGAAAATTATTGTTAATAATAAATTTCTGAAGTTTAAAAATAATTATTAAAATAGAAAGATTTTAAACATTTCCCAATTCGGCATTTGTTCTATCATCGCAACATTTTGAAATTATTTCCCATCTCGTATCTTTGTCAATTAAATGTCCTTTAAATATTGGCGAAGCTGCGCTCAAAGCTAACTAAAGAAAAAAATATATTAGAGCAATATATACTTAATTTTTTTTAAAAATTTTATTTAATAAAAACCATACCATCATTGGAGACAGAACTGCTAATTGATCATAAATATATTGCGCTTCTTCCATATCGTAGGCTTGAAGAGTCACCTATAATTTGTGATGTAAAAAATATCAAAGAGGTATAAAATGATAGCTGTTTAGTGTTGTTAAATGACCCGATTCGGCTAACCCAATAATTTAGCCAAAATAATATTAGGCAAACCTGGAGATTTTATATATGGCAGAAAGATTTGGAAATCTATTATACAAATCTCGAGTCGTGCGTAATATTTTGGCTAAATTCTTAATTTAAAATGGGGGAAATTGAGCCGATTAATAGACATCAGCTGTCGTAATATGCTATAAATACTTATATAATACTTGTAAACAACAACACCCGATACCAAAACAGGTCGAGTCCATGTGTAAATGATTTGGAATGGTTAATGGACACGAATTTATATTGTCGGTTTTATCGAAGGTTTCGATAATAGGATCTTCGATAAAAGGATCGGCTGTCTTTACATCTTTAAAAACTATGTTTATTTTTAAAAAAAATGGAGTCGTAAGTATTAAGTCAATTAAGGAGAAGAAAAACATATAAATTATAAATCAAGGGGCGTTATTTATTTTTTACTTGGTATATATATGGGATTATGACCTGATCGTTGTTTGATATTTTTTGCAATAGCTCTAATTATTTTTAATTTTTTTTTGAAAAAATGATTAATAAAATAAATCAAACATGAAACTTGTACTTAAAAAACGGTTCTAGTTTCGGTTTCTTAAATTTTGAAAAGTAAGTTCCGGTTTCTTAAATTTTAAGCGGTTCCTAGGGTTTCGATTTTTCTGTTAACAATCAACAAAAAAAATTAAACAATAATTAAACCCGTTTGTTAGAACCGGGAGCTAAAATTGGTTTTTAAATAAATATTTTTTTTAAAAATGGTTTCTACTTCCGGTGGTTTTGGTTACAATAATTGGTTACCGGTTCAAAACCTTTGAATATAATTCAAAATTTTATAAAATATCACAAAAATCTAGGGTAGGATTCGTTTATAACGATATCGGGTATGTAAATTGATTGTTGTATTGTTCTCGTGCCAATATTTGTTTTATTTGAAACGTCATAGAAATCTTGACAACCTAAACTGTATATTAAAAATATTATTTTAGTAAAAATGTTAAATTATAGATAAATTTTTTTTAAAAAATCAAACCGAGGAAAAGATGTAATTGTAAGCACAGTCTCATTTGCGTTTAGAGCTTTCCTAATAGTATTTCGTCTAAGAATAATATTTAAATTTAAAAAATTGTTAACTTTTTTTATGTATGAATTTTAATCATTGTAAGTTTTTTTTCCCTACAGTGCCACATTAATATTTTTGTTTGAGAGGAAAGGGGGGGGGGAGGGTTACTAACTGACCTTATATATATGAAACTTGTGGAAAAAATCATTTTTTATGATTATAGTTTTAAAATTTGATAATTTTTGTTAATTCGTCAGAACAAAAACTATAGTTTTATTTTGTTTCGTTTGCCACTTTTAAATTTTCATCAATGTTTGATCCCTGCAATCACTTCGGGTTTAGCTGCTCAAGAAATAACATACATTTTTTTGTTCACCAATCCAGTCGAACTTTTTTTTGAGGAGCTTGATTTGTGCCCAACTATTATTTTCAGATCTTCAAAATCTTTTCACGATTTATTTTTTTAGGAAGCGGAGAAAAATAGGTCTAATCTTTTGCCTCAAGAAGCCCAACCCATCTATTTAGATTGGCAGTTCCGTGAAGGGCTCTCATTTATTTATCGATTTTATCAACTGTATATTTGCTTAGGTGAACCTAGTGGTCTCGAACAACTCGTTTTAGGTGCTTTTTTTAAAGAAACGGTTAAATCAAGATTTTTACCAAAATAGTATTACCTAAGCTTCAATATTTGATCAAAAGAGGATCAAACCTTTCTGCCATCTATATGAGTTTTTTTTAGCTAAAATCTTGATTTCGCCGTTTTAAAAAAGCGCTTAAATTGAGGTTTTTGCTACCCTGACATTTTATATTTGAATATATATATTTTTAAAAATTTACCTAAACGTCATATTTGATTGAACAGTTCTATAATATGCCATATCACCCTTGTAAGGAGAGCTAGGTGTACTCTCAATCATGTAAGATCCAAATTCGGGATGGAGAATTAATTTAGAACTTCAAAATTTTTTACATATTTTATGTATATCAAAAATAAAATCAAAACTTATTTTTTGATTTTAGATTTTTGGAAAGAATATATTCACATTTTAAGCAAATTCTTGCATTACGCTGTTCATCTTGGAAGGAGACAAGCATGTATTCTATCTTAAAAATGCATAATGAGAAAAAATTTTTTTTAGATAATGTTTGTAAATATTTGAGTTCATTATATTATTTTATAAGGTTTATATAGGGTTTTAACTAAATATAAAATTTTTTAGCCAATTTTTATAAATTAAACCTTTTATAGCCCACGCTTTTTTACTTTATTTTGAAAGACCTGATATTACCGGAATCGTATTGTATAAAAGATTATGGTCCAACAGCTGATTTATTAAATTTCTATTCGTGAATTTATAATCACGAGACCTGTCAGATTTGATAAGTTATTAATAAAATTGATTAAATTTTATTAAAGAACCATTTCAATTTATCATTCATAACCCTATAACCAAAATCTATCAAACCTTTAATTAAACCTGACTAGAGATGTATTGATTGAAAATTTGACAAAAGGGGGGCGTTACGATTAAAAATATGATATATATAAAATCGATTTTTTAATTGAATATGAATTAAAAATATTTCCATAAATTTTTCCTATCTTCTTTTTCCTTGTGCTGTATTTTTCTTAATATTTCATTCACCTGCGGTGATTTCTTTCCATATTTTAATAGATGGATAATAATGCATTCCGATGGTGCACTAATATTTATGCAAATTATTCCCTCTTAAAATCGTTCGTTTATCTGGCATGATCAGAATCAAAAGATGAATGCCCTTTTCACACTCGACTGTAAGATAAAATATCCACGTTATAAAATTTTTCAAATTTTTTATTAGGAATATCTTCATCGATATATTGCTGAAGCCCATAATATTCATTTAATTCTAAACTTTGGCAGATTCTTTTTATTGGCTTTTCGCCAAATCAGGCATCTAGGGCCAATTACTTTTTGAATGAAGCATATATCGTAAAGAATTTCTAAAATAATAATGCTTTCTAGAGAAATTATAAATTGGCTTATATTTAATCTTACTAATTTTGGATTTTTTTTAAATTGTATATTTTAAATAAAAGTGTAATTTCTGAATCGAGCGGCATCTGTAAATATTTACCTTCATAGTGTCTACATGAGAGAGGGGAGTAGGAGCGAGTTCACTTATTTTCTTGAAGGGGTTAGGAATCCAATGGAGGTGTGGCTGTGGTTAGGGTAAAGTAAATACACGATTTGTAGGTTAAAGATAAAAATAAGATAAAAAAATTAAATTTATTGATAAATATTTATTTTTCATTCATTTATATACAACATTTTAGTACGTCACGCTTTTAACTAATATTTAGAATATGGTAGTAACATCTGGTTGATCCTCACAAACTAATGATTATTTGTTATTGCTGGCTAAATAACCATTAGCTATGTGTTTGACTAAACTGCAAATGCCAAGGTAAACTGCAAATACTTAGGTAAAATTTTTTGTTTTATATACTCTATTAATTGAAGTGAGAATAACATATAAAAATTAAATTCTAGATATTATCAATAATAATGGAATACACATTAATAGTTGTATTTTCTTTTATCTCATAATTGTCATCGCGAGGCTTATTTTATAAATAATTATATATATCTATATATAAAATATCAATCCATTGTTTAAGATTTTGTGATTGGTAGAAAAGAAAGAAAATTTTATTATTAAAAAATTCAACGCGAATTTTTTGTTGAATTTTTTTTCATTTTTTACAAAACATATTATTAATATTTTTTTTGGAAATGACTTTTAAAAATTTATATCTTTGAATGTCAATTTTAAAGTATCCATAATTGAAATTGGAAAGCAATTGAATTAATTATATTTCAGAGGAAGTTCCAGGTTTTGGTTAGTCAGTATCAGTTCTTTTTAATATTTATTCATAAAAAACTGTTTTCGTAAAAAAATGGAAAAAAAATTCATAATCAAAAGAATAATTTTTTTAATAATAAATATTAAATCCTTTAAAATAATTTTAATTACATTTAAAATTACAAAAATATTAAATCCGCAAGTTGGCATATTATTATTTTATGAAGAAATAAATGATAACTTGTGGAAATACGCCATCTTGCGGAATTAATATTATTGAAATTTAATATGTAATTATTATTGTTAATATAATTATATTGATGGATTTAAACTATTTATTATGAGATAAAAGGTAAAAATTTACGGAAGGCAACTGAAGGAAGAAGATAAATCTTTTTTAAAAAGTTTATCAATAAAAAGTTATTTTTTTAATTTATTTTCAAAATGTTGTGTTTTTAATTAAAATTTGTAATGAAATATAATATTAAAAAATAGGTTTATTTATTACTTAAATTTGATTATAAAATTCAAGGTTTCTAATTCCAAGCTGTTCCTTTTTAAAAATTTGAGCTGTATATGCAATTTTTTTGTAAATGTAATAATAAGGGAAGTATTCATTATTCGCATTTACACAATTTAAAAAAAATTAATTTATCGCAACATATTAAAAATAATATGAATTATTTGAATATTTATTTAGATTTATACATACATATTTTTAAAAGTAACTAGTTTTGGCAGTTACATTGGTAAAAATATAACTAGTTACAGTTACTAGTTACAATTTTTAAAATATAACTAGTTACAGTTATTTTTTATTAACTTTACCTTAACAACACTAGTTTATATTTATCTTATCTTTTGTTTGTATGATATTCGCTTATAAGTGATGGGGTTTTCTTATATTACCATTTTATTATTCTTTGTTTGTACCATATTCGTTTATAAGTGATGTGTTTTTTTTATACTACAATATATTTTTCTTTGTTTGTACGATATTAACTTATACCGAGCTTGTTTTGATTTCATCCTCAAAACTGGTTTTAGCCTGTTTTCGAGATGGACGAAGACATGAAATTGATATTCATTTATTATTGTTTGATTGTAAAAGGGACTATATAAAGACCTCGAAAAATGAATTATGATCATTAAAGAATTTATTAATTTCTTGTTACTACTTTGGAACGATTAATTTTTCGATATTACTTTTAATGGACTAATTCAGATTGTGCTGTTTAGTGGCGACTATACTTAACAAAATAAAATTTTATGATACTAATTGTCTGTGCGTGAATATGTGGTGGTTTACTTCATTCTGTGCGACCCTTGCCTGGACTTTGGTAAAACCACAACATGCCCGCTAAGTCCGGTCTCTCAGTCCCATTCACCGACAATCCCAGCCCCATGAACTCCGTCGTTCTCTCCCACTCCCCGATGGTTGGACTTGATTGTCGAAATACAACACAAAACATTCTATATCTCTTTTTATTACAATTCGTCGAACATATATACAGTTATTTTAATTTTCAATTTACATACGTACAATTAACTTAATATATATGATTGAGGCTAAGATGTTAGTAATCGCTTAAAAATTCGGTTTAGCCTTTTACGAGTTGACTCAAAACCTAAAATTGGAGCTATTCCACTACTTGTTGGTGGTGAACCTCACATTCTGTGCTTTAAATATAGAAGCAGCGTTCACTAATAAAAATTTCTATAAAAATATGGAAAAATAAAACTTCTTGCTTCTCCATCTATGTGGCTATAAAAAAAATATGAAAAATATTTGACTGTATAAAAATTTAATTTTTATAACATAAATAAATAGAAAAGGTATTCAAATTTAACAATTTTGAAAAAAATTTTTTTTGACATGGGGGCTTAGCCCTTCCTAAAATTTGGAAAGGAGACTTAAAAATAAAAAATAAATCATAGCCCCCCTCGCAATATATCACTGAACCTTAGCCATATCTCTCTAACCTATAATATTTACTTCAGATACTTGTTTAATTTTAGATATATTTCACCCGGGGGGGGCTTATTAAGTTGTTTTCCACACATAAATTTTATTGGAGGTCTTTAGGTCCACTTACTGTAATGTATGCCTGTGGCTATATTCGTTTTTTATAAAATACTTTGCAAAAATGCTTTTTTCTAAATATTTAATAGTGCCTATTTTAAATTTATTAACCTTTACTAATTTTTCTTTCAAATTCTTCTTTATAATAAAAGAATTCAGTTTTGTGGCCCCGGCTACGCCTATGTGTGTAAAGTATCTAAACTATGAATGTATTTGGGTCATATTTGCTTTGAAATTTGAATTACTCCGACCCGAAATGAAAATTATTTGCCCGCCCGGCCTGAATTAATTAAAACATATACATTAATTTTTTTTCAATATAGCAGCAGCTAGTACATTTTTACACTGAAATCAAGTTTTTTGATCATTTTTATAAACAAATAAAAAGTATTACCTTGTTTCTTAATTTTAAAATATATCAATTTAAAATCAAAAAATTATTAGGCCCAATCTCCAACCCGAACCAGATTCTTTTTAAAATCGGCTCTGCCAGTCCTGGGCCTACTTTTGCAGATCTCTAATGCGGAGCATGAATTCAGTAATAATGATAATACTTGTGAGTGATAAAAAAATGTAGAGTCTCTAAAACCAAAAATTTGTTAATTTGATTACATCCATTATTAAAACAAAACAATTATTTTAATTAAATTGCTTTTATAAAAAATAATTAATTTAGCGAAATATAAAAAAGGTCATATTCAAATTTAAATCTTATTTCTTATCGTAAATAGTATATGGCTAAAGTTGATTGCCAATTTATCAAAAACTAGAATATTATTATAAAATATAAATTACACAATTAGTCAGTTTGTATTGTACACCTAGAAATCGTAAATTTGTGAGGCGATATATAAAATTAGTTTTGAAGTTAGACGAAATAGTTTTAAAAGCGATAAATATGTTTCATATGACCTACAATTAAGATTTAAAATTTGAAAATAATTTAAATTATATTTAAATTTCTTTTTAAAAAAATGCAAAACCATGAATTATCCAATTAAAAGCTGTCATTTTGGTTCATATGATGGCTTAAAATTATTTTGGATAACAACAAAAATGGCTTTAATGATAGCTTGAACAGGGGAATGCCATTTTTCAAGTTTAAATAAAATGATCATATTAGCTTATATTATTTATTTTTTAATTTAAGGACACATCATTATGAATGACCTTGTCGTAGATAATGAATGACTAATTGAACTTTTTTTTAAAACTGATTTGCTTCTTTTTTTTAAAAAAAATAGGAACATAGCTCTACAGGTGTTAACGACTACTGGATAAGCCATTAAGCTCGTCATTATCTATTTTATATTTGAATAATTAAAAAGGCTTCAGCTTTATTTGCTTAGGAAGGGTCAGCGTGACTGAGCTTAGGATTTTTAGAGGTCTTTTACTTTAATTATTATCAGCATGCTTAATGTATATTATATATTCGAGGAAAGCATTTCTTCGAGCAGCACTTGAATATTTTTAAAAAAAACCTTTTTAAAAACGCCTATTGATAAGAGCAAACGACTATATAATTTTTGATATCCGTGCACAGCTATGCCCTTCCCTGAAAAAATTACGTGAATTTTTATATATGATCTTAGATTTTATTTTGAAAAATTAGGATCATGGGGTGAATTTTGTAAAAAATGGTAGAAAAATTATCTAATTTTTTTAAAATAATAGACAATTTCCAGGAAGAATATTTTGTATGAAATGTGGTAGAGAAAATAAACAGCATCAATCTTCTAATTTCAATGTAACATTTCCAAGTTACTGAAAGATGTCATGTATATAAAATCAATTATAGTGACCATATTGCCTTCACTATCTATCACGATAGGTATAATAGAAAAAAGTTCTAGTACCTTTTGAAAAGAGTCAAAAACTAATTTTGGACAACAATTGCTGATATAAAATTACTTTCATAACTCATCCTAAGTATTCATCACAATTATGATTAGAAAAATTTTAATGTTTTCACAAAGGTCAAGGAAATTGCATATAGCCTATAATTATATTTTATTTTTAGGATGACGATTCGTAGTATTGAGGTTTTATTTATAGTTTGCTTTAGATATTTGTTTTAAATTTTATTGGCATTACTAAACCACGCAAAATGATAAACACGGAAAATTCAGTACTAAGTTAAAAGTACGCAAAAATATCACTAAACCCAAGCAATATATCAGAAAAATAAGCAAGACACGGAGGAAAAAAGTATGCAAATATCTAAACTAAGGAAAAAATTATTAATAAACAACGAGAGCATGTTTTAAAATAGGCTAACTCAATATTTTAGCCATAAAAATATTGCCTAAATTTCGAAATTTCGCTAATACATGTCCAAATCTTTGTGTCATCTAACTAAGATCGTAAGGCTTGCGTAATACATTTCTGAATAGAATATTGAGTTAACCGTTTAAAAATTGGCTCAAATCGACCTGTTTAACTACACTAAGAAAATCAGTAAAATTTGTTTAATCACGAAAAATAATACAAAAGCAAGCAAATAAAATTATACAAAAAGCACGAAGATTAAATTTCATTTCAAAAAATTAGATCAGACAATGGAATAAAAATTGAATTTTTATATTAAAAAAAAAATTACTAATAAAAATGTAAATAAAACACAATATTAAACCTCGTCACCCCATAAAAAGGACGGTGTTTTCCTATTTTTGCATTTGTGATATAAATTAATGAATTGAGACACTCCTATATCTTTTACAATTTGTACGTAGTTTTTACTTTCTTCCCATGACAATATTGTTTTTTCTGTTAATATGCCCATTTAAAAATTGCCTAATTAAATTTGAATTAAAAAAACTTTAAAGTTAAAATTGCAATATGCTATATAATGATCATTTTCATTAAATTTTTTTAAAATGAGTGCTAAACCCTGACCGGCTGGAAAATAGCAATAATAAAAAATGCAACTTGGAAAGCGAAAAATTTAAATATGTTACTTTTATTGAAATATCTAATGACATTATAATTGAGAATCGGAACTTGCATCTCACTAATATGGCTTTGAGTCCGGATTAGAGCAATTTTTTCTTCTTAAAAACTTGTCATTAGCTATAAAACTAAACAGATAATAGGGCAATTTTTTTTTGGCTAAACTATATATTGCATGCGATGTCAAAAAATGTAGTATAAAAATAATTAGACAATATATTTTTCAACTTATTTTTACTTATATCTAAGACCAACGCTTAAAGCAATTTCCTTTGCATTTTATTAGCTTCAGCCTATTTTTGTTGCAATTGTCCTAATATTATTTTAGAGAATAATATATCCGATATTAATTTGGTTAGTTAATTTCTCGATACAATATAAGCAATAAATATATATTTTTTTGAAATATTATAAATTTAATAGTGCAAATGTATTACGTGAAAAGTAAAATTCATTACAATATCTGGTTGTTTTTAGATAGATGGAAGAGTTTGATATTGCATTCGCAAAATTCCTCATAAGTAAAATCAAGCCATGATTTGGGATATGCGTAGATTTATAATTTTAAAATGGGTACATATATCATTATGCTTTTACTAAGAAAATGGATAAAAAATAGCATTTGTCTTTTTAATAATATTCTATTTAACTAATAAAAAACATGTTATTAAATACATTTTTAAATACAAATATATATACACTATTTGCATAATGTTTATGTATATTCAATCCTATAATCACTTATTTATTTGCCTAACATCTTATGCTTGGCGTTAATAGTTTGTACTCTATAATTTGCATTACATTTGATATTCCTCATTATGGCGTTCGTTCCAAAAATAGTAATGAAAAAATATAATTTCATAGAAAGGCAAAGCCTCAAGTGTCCCTGGCTCCTTTCTGTAATAAAAAAAAATATCGAAGCCCGGTTATACCATAGCTAGTAAGAGGTGTAAAATGTGAAAGTATTGCGGGGTGCAGTGTCTACATAAATAAATGAGGGGGTGGGGTATTTGAGATATATCTTTCAAGGGGTTCGAGGCTTGGAGTTAAATGTATTGGGGAGAGGAGAAAAATTGACATGTTACCTCCAATTTATTTCTTTCATGAAGATTCTGGTTACCTAGAATGTTGAAAATATGACGGAATTAATAAATCGAGTGGAATAATTTGGCCAATGAACAAAAGAGATGTAAATGTCTCTTGTGAAAAATGAGATTGGAAGGTATCATATTTTCTGACAAAGCTATAGATGGTAAAACTTGTGCCAGGGTACTTCGGCAGACAAATTAATGAACAAAATTTTGACCCCCCCCCTCCCCCCAGAATATGTAAAAAAGATCTCTTGTAATTTCTAATTTTTTGGCGCATAATCAAACGCCTCGTCCGGACACGTCTACTAGTAAAGCGTCTTTGGCACCTTGTCATAAGTATAGTATGTATCCTTGGAAAGCTTGAGCTTAATATATAGCGTCCTAATGATAAACCGGTGACGGAAATTTTTATAATTTATAAGCATTATTGAAAATATATTTTGCGAAATTGATGTCATTTGTTCGTATATTTTTTGTAATTTATGTTCTCGCACTTTTCCATAGAGTATGCAATGAAGCTACAAATAATATTTCTTCAATAAAGATTACCATAATTATATATATTATTAAACTGAGCGTAATTGGGCAATACGATAATTGCTTTAGTCAATGTGTTTAATCTTACAAAATTCTCTTAAATTTAGTGTTTTTTTTGTAACGAGAAGTGTTACATTTTTCAAAAGTAAATTTAACCTAAAGAGGCTATCATTTTGCAGAATAACGTGATATGTATTTATTGAAGTAACGTCTACGGGTGGTAGAACATATAACATACATTAAACGGAAATCTTATTCAACAACTTTCATATAACAAGGATTTTATTTTTTATTATGAATAAAAAATTATGGAAGATATTTATATTACAATACGATAAAGACGAAAAATTATGGCGGGTTAACGTATAGGCGTCCCCTCAAAGATATGGCGTTGGGACACGCCCTGTTCTAAATATTATCTGTCATTTTTTTGTCTATATTTCCCTTATTAATATTATAATATATGATCTTGATAAATATGAAAATTTGATTAAAATATCTGATCTTGATAAAAATGAAAATTTGATTATAATTATTGTACATTTTTTTTTAAAATTAAATCGCCGAGGAAAAAAGGATAATTAATTATATTAGCTTTAAAGGAAATTACAACTATAAGTTTATGAATAAATCAGATAGAGATTCAAAACTTGGAATAAAATCTGAGTATATTATAGAAGGAAATGGTGCAAACAAAGCATTTTTAGTGAGTGTAAAAAAATAAGGTATATTTCTAGCAACATTTCTTTGCTCCGATATGTTCAGGAACTTTATTTACGGATTTAGAAGTTAAATCGGCTATTAAAAACGGGCATGAGACATCACCTTTGGTCATTTTATCGCACATTCTTAGCAAATCGTAATTGATTAATTCGGATACCTTAGAATCCTTTTTATAATCGGGATGATTGGTTACAAATTCTCTGATCCAATGCGCCATAGTAAATAATTTACCTTTTTTAAAAAAAAATAAGGAATAAAATTAAATATTAATATGGTAATTAATATCAAATCATATAAAATATAGCCACTATAAAAAGTAGAAAAAGAAGCATGCCAAATATAATAAAGTTCTCGATATGAGGGTTACTAACCAAAAAAAATCTTTAAGATAACACCATTTGAAGATTAACAATTTTGTTAAAACCAATCAAAGCAGCTTGCCAAGATATAGAATCACCCTCATAGTCAGCATGCCTGAATTTAATTTGGACATGCTTAGAGTATTTTCAATTTGAACAAAACTTTTTATTATGAGAACGCCGCTCCATAGCAAGGTATTAGAATTCTTTTGATATTTGTACATTTTATAAAGTATATTGTTAATTCGTCGATTAATACATTTTTATTTTATATTTCGTTAAAAATTTTGTTATCTTTGTCCAACAATGATTTTTATAATTAGCTATAAATATAAAAATTAATATAAAAACTTTTAGTTTTTTTTAACATAAAAATACTAATATTCTTATTTCGATTTGGTCAACACACCATATTGTGATAAACTGAATAGAAATTTATTTTTAATTTTTTTTCTCCTTTTATAATTCTAATAAATTTCATACCAAAAAGATTTTTGGGGATCATGTCCGGAGAAAAAATATGTACCGGGCCGATAAATTAGGGCCAATTGGGTCCGCACCAACCTCTATTTCATATATCATATTTTTATCTTTATAATTTTTAATTCGTTTTCTTTTGTCCGATGATTGAGGAATATAATTTTTTTTAAATCTAATACTTAATAACTTTAATTGGCAAATAATTTTACATTTAAAAGGATAATTCATTTTTAAATGTCTCTAATTTTGTTACATTTAAAAAAAAAATTCCCTTAAATTTTAGTGGATAGTTTTTTTTATGTATAATTTTTTGTTGGATTTTGAAGGTAAATTTTAAGATCTAAAAGTAAAACTAAAGAAAATATTCTGAAATGCCCGGTATAATACCTCCAGTACGGAATTGTCCCCTAGGCCAAACCTAACTCATCAAATAGAAATTCTGAAAAATGGAATATATTTGCTATCTCTATTACTATGGGCCCGGCCCCAATGGTTAACAATAAACAAAAAATTTAACTTTTTTTAAAATCTGAATTTTATTTCTGCTCAATGAGATATCTAATAAAATTATGCCATATGTTTTTTTAGATATTATCTCAGAGCATTTTTATCCAAATTCAAAAATCGATTAAATAATGATTCAATAATAATAACAATTATTTAAATTAATTACCCACTAATCATTTTTTTCAAAAATGTAAAAATTAGCTTTGGTATGTATTTTAATCGTTGATTTTTATTAAAAACAAAAAATCGTATTTCTTTGATTCAAATAGCATTTTTTTTAAAAAGGTTGTATTCAATGATCATATCTTTTTCAACCGTGTAGATTTACGTACAAAATTTTTATACCATCTTATTTATTGGATATCTTTATAAAAAAGGAAGGCCAAAACTTCAATGAGGCCATAAAGTTTGAGCCAATATAAAGAAGTATAAATTAGATAAAAGAGATTGAATGAATAACATAGAGTGGAGAGAGATGTTGAAGGAGCTTACCACCAAAAAAGGTGAAAGCTAAAGAGAAAAAAATCTTTATTCATATATAAGATGAATCCCTAAATATTTTTATTTAAATAGATCTAAAATGGTAAATTTTAAATATTTTACAAATATAAGAAAATCAAATTCACAATTTAAAAAGATAGGTCTCATTATAAGTTATAAAAATGATTTTAATTGCAGGGATACAAGCCTAGTTAAGGATAATGCAAAAAAAAATGTTAAAGATGATAAGCATATATTCTCTGAAATATTTAAACTCATAGATGTGTTCCTAATATTATATCTACTTAATTATTTAATGCTAAAAAACGTATAGGAACAAATATGAAGTAGTTTAAAAATGCTCTATTAAAAAAAAGGATCCCAGTGAGGATGGATAGAACATACTAATAGACAGTATCCGGACATATTTAAATCAATGGTCTAGATATTTTAAGATATTAATTAGATTTCAATCACAAAAATCATTGGATGTATTGGAAAATAAAAATTTCAGATTGTATAGAACAAAGACCACCTGGTATTAATAATTAAATACCAAGCCAACTCAGAAAAGTTTGGTAAATGTTTTTCTCTTCTATATTAAATAATGCCTCGATTCTTGAATTGTAAAAGATTCTATAATAAAATTTTTATTGGTTGATAATACATAATTTTAATCTTCAATTAACTCTTTGGTATAGCTATAGGAGTTCCTTTAGATGTAGAAAAAATATTTATCTCAATTGACCTAATCCAATCTAAATTTAAAAACAGGATTTTGGACAATTAAAGGTGGAAAATTTAATAATTTTATATTATAATTAAATTTTTAAGCTTAAGAAAGACTACGAAATAATTTCCACTTGTTAAAATAATTTTGAATAATAATCAAAAGGCATCAAGCGATTAGTAAGTGATGAATTTGATAATTAATATGTTTATCAGAGTCCTGCAGATACCACTTGTACGGCACGGCCTGGATTTTTTTAAAAAAAAATTTTTCGACCCGGCCCGAATTTTTTTTTCAAAAATTTTTTCCGGCCAGGCCCGGGTTTTTTATTTTCAGGCCCGGCCCGGATTTTTTAAAATATATTTTATTATTTTTGATTTTTACAGCTAAAAATGGCGATTTCAAATATTTGGTTTTAAACCGGGCCTGCAAGTCTCTGATGTTTATAAAATAAAAAAATATGATTAAAATCGTAATTTAAATCATTTTTATTTATAAAAATAATATATATTAAAAATTTTACTTATAAATCTATATTAAAAACATACAAAATATTTAGAAAAAACAAATCCATTAAAAAATTTTTGAAAAAACTTACAAAAAAAATAAAAAGGAGAATGCTAAATGAATGAGTCGAGCCAAGAATTTCTAAACATTTAATAATTGAGCCGAATTATTGTGATAGCAATGTTTTGTGCAAGTTTATATATTTTTTCCCTTATGAATTTTGAAACCGTTTTGAAAAGATTTATAGTGGCTTGCCCAAAGGAGCTGGATGATATAGCTATGATGGGGACAATGTGATTATCACCAATCAGGTAGGAACATTTTTGACATTTTAATGACTCAGCCCTAAGAAGAGGGTCATATTATTAGAAGGGGCAAGGGTTAGGCAAGAAAAATCCCAGACGTAGTATATTGTTGCCGCAGTTTTTTATCTATGCAGAATGTGGGTTCAAGAATGCACGGGAGATTCCTTATTGAGAAATGTAGCAATAAGTGTGTTCATTTTTGAGCCGATTAATTTTAGATATGAATTTACAATGAATCGCATGGCGCCCAAAACAGTCTGCGATCTGATTACACTTGGCAAGCGTATTGGTTTAAAAATGATATGCCCAAGTGCAAACTGTTTGCATAAGTCGTCATCTATTAATTGATTATTTAAGATACTGGGGTAAGATTTAAGCCATTCATGGCCGGAGTTGTTGAAATTAGAAGGGATTTATATGATCATCGCTCAAGGTGAGGCAAGTGAAGGAACGAGATACCATAGATTCTAGTCTTTTTGCTTTAATGAATATGGTTGAGGTGTATTTGGCAAGGCATTGATATTCCAGCAATTTAAGATTTCTCCAGCAAGATATCATTATCAATTGAAATGATTTGGGAAATAATGAATTACGGATTTTGTAGAAGATATAAAAGCAACAAGGGCAATCGTTATCGCGGATCTCAGTCCTAAGTCGCGATTTGCAGAGAAGTCTCCTAAAGCCAGGAGTTAAAATCGAATTTAATATTTAGTAACTTTTACATCATTTTTAAAATGTTTTGTTCGTATAATTTTAAAAGGGTTTTAAACGAGAAAAACACGAAATGAATTTGCGAAATTAAAAGGGCATTTTTGAGGATAAAATAAGCTTGATGGATGGGTAATCTATTTGATGAAAATTATTTTACTGAAGTATTTAATGCCTACTATAAGAATTAACTGGCTTAATACAAAATCAAAACTTAAATTATATTTTTTACTGGAAATTTAAATTAAATACAACTGATATAAACGTAAAGAACAGAATAGTGTTCTAATATTCATATTTAATGTTATACATCTTTTTGACCTTATAGGTGTGTGGGTAGGAAATACCAACCCCCCCCCCCCCCTTCATGGTAAATATAATGAGGTAAAATGATGTGTTTTCATAATGATATCTAGATGAATAGTGAATTATGAAATTAACCTCCTTTTAAGGAAAAATTTGCCTTCACGTTTGTTTTTTCAATTTTAAATTGTAGAACCTCTTCCATAATTTTCATCTATTTCTATAAAAATCTATCATGTTTCTTTACAAGATGTCATAAATCTATACTATTTATGCTATTCTACTAAATTATAAAGTATCAAAGCTATCAACCGATTTATTAATTCTCATATTTTAAGATTTCCCTATTTAATCGCTTAGAATTAGAACAGAAATGCTCAAAAAACAAACGTCGAGAATATATACTCAACGTTCAGAAAATATTGAATATAAGTTTTTAGAAATATTCATGTTATTTTAGCGGAGGGGTTATTTTTGATAATTTAAAAAAAAATAATTTGGGGAATATGTTTCCGGTTTTTCCGGGGATATTTCCGCTATATTTAATTTAAAATCTAAAAAATGGGGAATTTATTCCGGAGAAATTTTTCCCGGGGAATAATTTTCTGAAATTTCCGGGTAATTATTTTCCAGGATATGTTTTTTAGGGTAATTATTTTCCGGTTTTTTTCCGCTTACCGAATACAAGCTTTATGATGTTTATATTTCTAGAAAGATATCATTATGATTTATATAAATTATTTAATATTAAAACTATCAAAAAAATGTGCAAAATAAGAATAATCAGGCTTTCTTGATGTACTTGAGTGTATAGTTTAAATCTAGTAGGTGGATTGATAAAAATGCTTCTAATACTGCTAGATATTTGTGTGCATTAATCCCCTAAACTCCATTTATTATTTCAATCCTTTGAATCGAATGAATTATATATTTTTTATACTATTAATATCAGTGGATACGAAAATCTAAATATTGCTGAAATAATGAATGACGCCAAAAGGCTTCTTAGATTATTTGATTAAGCTTAGGCAAATACCATATAAATTTTTCAGGTCAATTTTAATAATTTTTTAAGTTTGAATGATAAACTAAACATTAAAATTAATAAACTTAAGTATAATCAATGACATGTTCGCTTTAGAATCAATATTTGACCTTTATTAAAAACAATTATCAATTTAAATTTAAGTCGTTGGTGTCATCAATTCCCTATTAACAGTTGACTGCACCAATAATTTTTGAATATGTATAAAAAAATTAATCTTTTTTTAGAGCTTAATATGATTATATAAGCAGTATCCCTCTTTTAGAGCCTACCAACAATTTTATTGATGCATTAGAATGATTTTAACTTACATTAAAATTATTTTAATCTAAAAACTAATAATAAAATGTTTAATAATACTAATCGCCTTTCCTATAACAACTTGTATAAATAAAATTTTTCCTAATTTGACAACCCAAAAAGGCGAATTAAAGGAAACCATGGGCCATGGGTAAGCTCTTAAATATATATAGAGAGATATATCAATCACATTCCAAATGAAGTTATATAATAAATCATAAAGGATCACTTAGAATTAAATAATAAAATATATAAACGTAAAATGGGCTCATTTTACTGAATTTAAAATAAATTTTATCAAAAACAAAATTTAATAGTTTAATAATCAATATTTATAAGTTTATATCAATAGAAAATTTGATAGAAATTTAAAAAAAACATTTATAAATCTCATCTCAGATTTATTGCAATAAATAATTCTTAATTGCAATTTATATTAGTGATCTGCATCGGGCCTAATTTTTCAAGCCCGGCCTGGCCCGAAATTTTTTTTAAAAAAGTTTTGCCGGCCCGGTCCGAATCCGAAATTTTTTTTAAAAAGTTTTTCCGTCCCGGTCCGAACCCGAAATTTTTTTTAAAAAAATTTACCACTCTGGCCCGAATTTTTTTAAATATAGAAGATAATTTTTATAATTACTCAAAATAAAAGACATATGTTATATGTTGTTTAGTTTCAATAAATAAAATCAAATATTTTTATTTTACATAAAAAATTTAATATTAACTTGATAAATTTAGATATATTTTAAAAAAAATTCAAGGTCCGACCCGACCCGGCCCGATTTTTTTTTAAAATATTAGGCCCGGCCAGGCCCGAACCCAATTATTTTAAATAGAATTAGGCCCGAGCCCAGCCCGGGCCTAACTTTGCAGATCTCTAATTTATATCAGTTTAAAATAAATCTTTGATTTTTGCTTAAAATTAAAGATTTCAACTTGAAAGATTTTGTATAGTATGCATAAAAATTAAAAAATATCTACTTATAAATAATATATTCCAAAAAATATTTATTATTTCTAGGTAATATTTTTCAAAATTTTAATCAAACTCTAATTTATATGATCTGTAATAATAATAATTAATGTAAATCATTTAGGTTATATTTAATTTGTATTACAAATAAAGTATCTTATTTGTTTAAATAATTGAGTTATTTATTTATAATCAACAAATCACATTTCTCAATTTTAAATTATAAAAAAAATAACTAAAATAATTTAAATAATATTTATTTCTGAAGCCTTTAAAGAAAAAAATTAGGGGAATATATAAAAATACCTATACATTTGTTTAGTAAAAGAATTAAACCAATTTTCCTAAAACCAAGGTAATTTACCTCTTTTTTTGATAATTATAAGAAGTCATTATATTTAACTTATAAAATAATTAAAAAGTATAATAATTTTATCATTTAATAAAAATTATTAAATGTCGAAATTTTGTGCTATTTTAATAGATTGATCTGACATAAAATAGAAAGAAATATTATTTTTAAGATAAACCCAGCCAAAGGCAAGTCAAAAGAGCTTTCGTTCGTGGGAAATCTGGAGGAAGGGGGAAGGGCGAAGCCTCCAGCCTTTAATAGGTTGGACCCCCCTAAGGAAAATTCCCTGCTACGCCACTAAATACCTTGCTCAATCTATAATAAGAGTAAGGGTTTTGTCATTTTTAATAATTTTTCTAATATTAAACAATCATTTGTAAACATAGCACTAACGTTCCTTCGAGCGTATCAGTTAAATGCTTATTCAGTGTCGCTAAAAAATGTTTTATTGATAGAAGTGGTGAATGTCCTATTGATAAAAACTTATTTTTTCGTTGAAATCAAATATTTTTATATAATATTTATTACTATTTTTAATATAGACGTGTTTTTTTATTTTAAAATATATATTATCCAAAAATGTATAGAAAAGTGTCGAAGATTTTATAATATCGTATCAATATGGTTTAAGAAAAAATGTATTTGTAACGATATCAGCGGACCAGTTCCCGGTTTGTATCGGTTCTGTAAAATGTTATATCATTTATTACCTGATGCCCTTCTCTCAATTAACTCCAAATATTGAAGAATAGTACAACGAGTATTAACGTCCAATTCCATGTTGTCTAGGAAATTTCTGACTAATTGAACCAAACCGGGGAAATCGTGCTAAAAAAAGAGAAAGCATTTTTTATAGTTTATAAAACATCATTCAATTTTTCTAAGCATTTACTACACCATAAGACGAATGTTATTGGTTTTAAACACATTGACTATCTATTAGTGTCCATAGTGAAGGTCCGGTTTATGGAAAAAGAGAGGGTGTTCAATAGAATGGTCTGAACTAGACCGTTAACCTACCATATAAGAAGAACCAGCCAACTTTTATCAAACGTTTCTTATAATTCTCATTCAAGACTACTGTGAATTAATTTTTCCATTCTCCACTTATTTATGTTTGCAAAAAAAGATATATGAAGAAAGCTTCCAATATCCTCGAAAAAAACACAAAGCTGATATAAGTATACCAAGTATGGGTTATAAAAGAAAATGAATTTTATTATATTTTAATAATAGTTAAGAATGTAAATTTTTTTAAAATTATCTCAATAAGAAAGAAACAACTTCTATAGGATTTCTGCATAAAAAATCGGCATGTGCAATGCAATTATTATAGTACATTGTCTAAATAAATAATATAAAAATCTTACGTTTCCGTTAATAATTTCGTTTATATTCATAGGCTTCCAATCTGTGATAAGGTGGTGATTAGAATTCGATTCACTTTGGTTCACGTGGTTAAAATGATTAATAACACTGAAATTATTTAGATCGTTTTTACTTATAGTCTTATAACTGGAGGAAGATTCAAAATTATCCAAATCTTGCTTAAGATTGGAATGAACATCAGAATTCTGATGTTCATTCGTGTGTTTTTCGAGTTCCTGTCTCTTCAGGTCCTCTTCTTTGTGCATAACATCACGTTTGGCATAATTTTTGTAATGAAAGTAAAATAATCCATCTATAACCGCATTTCTTTTTTGTGCTTCTGCCATATTTAATTCCATCTGTAATATTTACGTTATAAAAATAGTTACAAAAAATTCACCTTTATAAGTGTTCTAAGATAAAATGTGTAAAAATATAAACAAGCACATTTAATCTGGATGAGGGAGATTTTAGAAATGAATGTTATATACTTTAAAATTCAAAATTTTTGGATTAAAATTATGGTTCATTTTTGGAGACGAATGAATTAATAATTTACTTTTTAAAATTAGTTGTTTTCAAAGATTATAAAATCAGAATTTATAAAGAAACAATTTTTTTAAAATATATATATAAAAAATATTCGTCAGATTATGTAAAGATAACTTAAGCATGGTGGGTAACTTCAAAATAATTTAATTTCGAGATGTGTTATCTTTTTACCTTGGAAATGGGTATAAGGAAATTGAGGTTATAGGAAAGGATGACCCTGGTAAGTAAAACGATAAAGACTACGTACGCCGCATTTTCAAAATCTGTTAATTGTACCTTTAAAAATAATTATAATAATGATAATAAGAAACGTGTAAATAATTAAAGGTATTTTGTAGTGATGTTAAAAGTTACTTTTGAAACATAACTAGTTACAGTTACTAGTTAAATTGGCAAAAACATAACTAGTTACAGTTACTAGTTACATTTTTACAAAAGTAACTAGTTATTAGTTACAGTTATTTTCAAAAGTAACTAGTTACTTACTTTATACATCCTTCATATGCGCATTATTTATTTATTGACTGCATTTATTTAATATAAAAAAAATTAGGATAAATAAAGTATAATCAGTTATTTAAAATAATATATAATTTATTTATATAAAAAAATATCGCAAAATTGAATATTTACATCGAATATAAAAATATATATTTGCATTGAAAAAAAAATATTTATTTTTCATAAAAATTAGAATCTAATAAATATTTATTTGCTTTTAACAACAAATTAATTTCTAAGTTATTATCTAGGAGACGTGCTCGTTTATCTCCAAAAATGAGCTTACCTAGACTGAATAAGCGCTCTACGGGAGCACTTGATGTTAGAACAACATTATATTTAATAAAGAGTAATTTTAACTTTGGGAAATCGTTATATAAAAAAAAAGTGTTGTTATTAGATTTGATAAAGTTTTCTATAAGTTCATTATTCAGAATATTTTGGCGCTTTAGGTCAAAAAATCCAACTACATCAAGTGATGTTGGTTTTGAGCATGATTCATTCGTCTGGGATTCACTTTGAGGTATTAAGGTATTTATTAAATTTAAAATTTCCTCCTTTTTTGCTTTATTCCTTTCTTGCCTAATCCAAGGCCAGTCAGTTTTAAATAAAGGGTGAAGAATTGCAGCAATGATGTTGTGATTATCATAAAGATTATTAAACCTATAACATGATATTATTAATTTATAAATAATTATTTGATTTTAGTTACCTTTTTTCAATACTAGCTAATATAGTATCCTTTAGAGGTTGACAATATTATAATCCCTGCACATCTGCCATACATATAAGTATTTGTGTTATTGTTGGGAACAATTAGACATTTTCACAAAATTTTTAATTAATAAATTTTATTTAAAAAATAAATTTAATTTAAAATTAATTTATCACAACATATTAAAAATAAAATTAATTATTTGGATATATCTTTAAAAGTAACTAGTTACTTTTGGCAGTTACATTTCAAAAATTTTAACTAGTTACAGTTACTAGTTACAATTTTAAAAATATAACTAGTTACAGTTATTTTTTAGCCAAAATGTAACTAGTTACAGTTATTTTAACATCACTACTTTTTTCAATACTAGCTAATATAGTATCCTTTAGAGGTTGACAATATTATAATCCCTGCACATCTGCCATACATATAAGTATTTGTGTTATTGTTGGGAACAATCAGACATTTTCACAAAATTTTAAATTAATAAATTTTATTTAAAAAATAAATTTAATTTAAAATTAATTTATCACAACATATTAAAAATAAAATTAATTATTTGGATATATCTTTAAAAGTAACTAGTTACTTTTGGCAGTTACATTTCAAAAATTTTAACTAGTTACAGTTACTAGTTACAATTTTAAAAATATAACTAGTTACAGTTATTTTTTAGTCAAAATGTAACTAGTTACAGTTATTTTAACATCACTACTTTTTTCAATACTAGCTAATATAGTATCCTTTAGAGGTTGACAATATTATAATCCCTGCACATCTGCCATACATATAAGTATTTGTGTTATTGTTGGGAACAATCAGACATTTTCACAAAATATTAAATTTAATTTAAAATTAATTTATCACAACATATTAAAAATAAAATTAATTATTTGGATATATCTTTAAAAGTAACTAGTTACTTTTGGCAGTTACATTTCAAAAATTGTAACTAGTTACAGTTACTAGTTACAATTTTAAAAATATAACTAGTTACAGTTATTTTTTAGTCAAAATGTAACTAGTTACAGTTATTTTAACATCACTACTTTTTTCAATACTAGCTAATATAGTATCCTTTAGAGGTTGACAATATTATAATCCCTGCACATCTGCCATACATATAAGTATTTGTGTTATTGTTGGGAACAATCAGACATTTTCACAAAATTTTAAATTAATAAATTTTATTTAAAAAATAAATTTAATTTAAAATTAATTTATCACAACATATTAAAAATAAAATTAATTATTTGGATATATCTTTAAAAGTAACTAGTTACTTTTGGCAGTTACATTTCAAAAATTGTAACTAGTTACAGTTACTAGTTACAATTTTAAAAATATAACTAGTTACAGTTATTTTTTAGCCAAAATGTAACTAGTTACAGGTAACTAGTTACTTGTAACTAGTTATTTTAACATCACTAGTATTTTGTAATTTTCGAGCATAAAAAATCTTTTCAAGATGGAAATCAAAAATTTTCCTTCAAAAATTTTTTAAAGATTTTTTCAAACTCTGGATTTAACTAAAAGATGTTTAACAAGACCATGGGAAAAAATGAAAGAGAATTATGGACACAAACTGACTTGCTTAAATACCACCTGGAAATGTCCATTCCATACATCGAAGGAAGAAATATATCTAAGGCCAAAGTTCACAATATGTTTTAAAAAAAATAAATAACGTTTAAAATTTCTTATTATTATATCGGTTTTAAATTTTTTTAATATATAGTATTTTAAAAAATAACACCCCCCCCCCCCCAAAAAAAATCTTTTTTTGTTGTTTAATTTAGCTTTATAAACTTGTATAATAATTAGGTAAAACCCAGGATATTGGAAAAATGATTTTATAAAATCGAGAAATATTTTTAAAATAAAAGAGATGGGTAGGAAAGGTATTAGGCAAGTTCCTACAAATTTTAAAGATGTTTCAGTTATGGTTTTTAGATTTGAAGAAAAGCAAAATAAGTTTGAAATTACCCAAAATTTCTTTAAAGTCCATGCCGTTTATAATAAAAATTTTAAAAAAGCATCCTGTATGGGCCCTTTGATTTATACCTGTCCGGGGTTCTTTCTGTGAGAACTGATCCGACACGATTTAAAGTTGAGCAATTTTTAAAATATATTTCTGAGCTCAAAATCAATTATTAATTAGATTATCATCATGAATAGAATTAAAGATAAAATTACTATTAACAAAGAAATATTGATCTCATATTAGTGTTGTTTTAAAACGGCTAACTCAATATTTTATTAGGAAAAAATATTATGCAAGCATTAAGATTTTGCTCATAGGTGGCACAAAGGTTTGAACATCTATTAACGAAATCTCGAGGCTTAGACAATATTTTTCTGGCTAAAATATTGAGTTAGCCGTTTTTAAAAATCGGCTCAAATCGAGCTGTTTAACAACACTATCTCATATACAGATTTTAAAAATCGATCCGCTGTTAAATCGTGTTTGATCGGATTCCACTATGTGTGGGGCCTTATTCTTATAATATTATTCTCTTTTATGGCAAATTGGACGCAATAAAATAAAGAGTATGTTCGGTATCAATAGAAGATATATTATGGTATATTTAATCAAAAGTGAAACTTCTTGAGGACGAAATTCAACCCTCCAACCAATGTCAGTATCTGGGGGTGGAGGTTTAAACCTCATAGTTTGCCAATTCGTAGATTGGATATTCTGAATTGTTTCAAATTTTAAAAAAATCTATAAATTTATTGCATAATAATGTAACGGTTTCTTATATAATTATAATCCCTTAATATAACAATGATTTTAATATTAGATTTCTAAAACAGATATTGAAAAAAGAGGAAAAAATAATTGAATTATTCAACGATAAATTATTCGTACCATTAATAACCAATGTGGATTTAAATAAAATATATAATGCTTTCTTTTTCTTGAAACTTGTTATTACATGCTTAATTTAAATAAATTATATAATGGGGGGGGGGGGGGTCTCACTATGTTTTAAATTATATCAAGCATTTCGCATTAAGTTTCAATGTAATAATCAACATATTTTAAAAATTAAATAGATATCAAACATCAACCATAAATAATTTACTTCAAAATGGTCGGAATCGGTTTCGGCTTGAACAATTTTTTCTTCGAATAGTATAACGGGATCACGTATAAATAGGTGGGCTATATGTTCTGCTAATAACTCATCGACGCCTAAAAATAGAATTTATAACAATTTTACGAAAATTTTTAAAGTATCGAATAGTGTGCTACTTTTTAGAAAAGTAAGGCTGCATTCACAGTAAAACATGAATAGCATATGCAAACGATGCGTAAAATACATACCTGTTTATTTGATATGATGCATTCTAAGTAAGATTTCGCCAAACTATAAGGCTGTATCCTGTTTTGACTTACTAATAAACAGCCGGCTGTTTAACCGGATTTTTATATCTACTGCCAAAAAAGTAAGACAATAAGATTTTAAGCAAGCCACTCATTTAATTTCCTAAATAAAGATTGTACATTAATATATAGAATATTTAGCTGATTTCGTTTTTAAATAAAACTAGTCTACTATCATCAGTATTAATATCATTGTATCATATATAATAAAAATTTATATTTAAACAATTTTAATATTTCAATGTTAGGTTGGGCAAACATTAAAATAACGAGTCCTACAGGGAAGGCAAACCTTGTGCAAAACTTAATGGGGAGAGCCCTTGTAGATTCCCAATATGAAGGATATAATCAATATAGGTATAGTTCATTAACCAAATATAAGGATATAACAATATATAATATTATAAAATAAAATAAACCTGCACTGACTAATTTATTGTAGAAATCTTTGTCGTAAAGTATAGGAATATCGTTATAAGGCTTTCCGGTATAAGAGATGTAACAGTCAATCGAATCGTATCTTGATTTTCTTATTTTTGGACCATTAGACGGCTAAATAACAGTAAGTCAACAATTTATTCACTTTAAAAAATATATATCGCATTAAAAAAATTGGAGAATGAGTGCCGTTACCACCCCCTAAACAAGGAATATGAAGACAGCTTAAATCTTATCATTGTACAATTAAGATTATAATTTTCGTTTCTTGGGTAAGTACTATTTTATGTGATAATGGATAGATTAGTATCGGTTTATAAATTAGGCAAAATCTTAATATCAACAAGAATGAAATAAGCTTGATAAAAAAAATATTACTATATTTAAATAATATCTTAGGTTGATATTGCATCTTTTTCTAAACGGAAATAATAAATTAAAGTTCTTAAATGAATTTAGATGACTACAGTAGGGATTGTTTAAAAAAAATCGCTCCCCATAAAATATAAAAGGGCATTTGAATCAAATTTTTTTAAAAAAACTTGAAGTCCTAATTCCTCGTCGGTTCTATCATCCACGCAACCAGCTATGACGTCCCAGCGACAATCTCTGTCGGTTAAATAACCTTTGAATATCGGAGAGGCAGCGGTCAAAGCCAGCTGTCATAAGAATATAAATCTTAAATGATTGGTACGTGTCAATAAAATTTCAGCAAAAAAAAGAAAAGAAAAATTAATTTAAAGAAAATGTCCAAACAAATAAATTATCCAAAAAAAGTCCAATCAAAACAATAGGGCAGGAGAGGTATATTAAAACTTATAATTAATTATAGATAGTTATATACCATAATTGGACAAAGAGCACCTAATTGGTCGTATAAATAACGTGCTTCGTCTATATTACACGCTTGAAAAGTTACCTGTTGATAAAATAGAAAAAAAAATCAATTAAATATTCCATAAAAAAAAGAAAAAGAAAACGCGCACAGACTAAATTGAATGTAAACCTCAGGAGAACAAAGGGTGGTGTTCACTGTTCGGGATTTTTTTATTATAAATCTCAAGAAATCGTCCAGATTATAAATGAAGCGATGACAATTAAAAGATGCTCATTCTTATCATTTAAAAAGAAATTCCTTATACAAATAATTTATTAAATTCAACATTTTATCAGATAAATTAGTAATTAAAATAATATTATTTTTCTTGAGTACAAAAATTAGTAACTTAACTCTGGCAAAATATTTTCCTGCCCAATTAACAAGTCACTTTTCACGGGATTATTTTTATTTTTTGAAGTAAGGAATCCAACATTCCCTAACCCGGTGTGAAAAATATAGTATTAGCCTTCCAATTAGTGTTGTCAAATGGCTCCGGCTAACCCAATAATTTTAACCAAAAAATATTATTCAAGCCTAATTGCTCATAGATGGCAGAAAAGTTTGGAAATCTATTAAGGAAATCTATTAAGGAAATCTCGTGACTTGCGTAACATTTTTTGGCTAAAATATTGAAGCCGTCTTTAAAAAATTGAGTCGTTTAACAAAAATACTTCTAATGTCTGCGAATGTTTAATTTAAAATATTTTGCTGATGCTAATCATTTCTTTTTATACAAACAAAACAAATTATAAATGTTAATATATATAGTCGTATATATGTGTTGTATTAGAATGATAAAGATTCATTATATTTTAAATGATTATTATTTATTGTTGTATTAGAATGATAAAAATTAATTGTATTTTAAATGATTATAATATATATATATTACGAACCTGTTGTTAGCCATGTATTTTGTTTATTTTTGTGGAAAAAGAAAAATACAGTGGCAACAAAGGAAAAGGAGATTAATTATATAATTTTTGTTTAAAAAGAAGAAAATTTGATGATTTGTAAATTATAAATTATTGAAGAGACAAAGAATATATATAATTAATAAAGATTCATAAATTAGAGAAGAGACAAAGAAAATATATAATTATTAAAGATTCATAAATTAGAGAAGAGACACAGAAAATATTTAATTAATAAAGGTAAAGATACTTTCAATTTAATTTACTTTCATTTTAATTTACTTTCAGTTTAATTTACTTTCAGTTTAATTTACTTTCAGTTTAATTTACTTTCATTTTAATATGTTTCGAGTTCGAGCCATTATTGAAGATGCTAAAGTTAGTATAAGGAACTAATTTAAAAGTTGACCATAAATATAGGAAGTATTTAGATAATTTTAAAAATCTTTAATTTCTGACATTTTTAGCATTCATTTTTCTAAGGAATAAAAATCTTAAAATTATCAATATTTTAGCGTTTTCCTAACTACATTTCGATCCATTTAGGAGTGATCTAATTACACGAAAGCAATAAGGATAGAATGGGAAAGGAGTGCCTAGAATATTAATTTATTTTTGGCAAAAGGGGAAATTAGAACCCAATATTAGTCCTTCGACGATATTGTTAACAATAAAAAAATAATATACCATGCTAAAAAATATAACTAAATTACTGAATACATCATTATAAAATTAAAAAAATAGATAAAAGTTTAGCAATATTTTTGAAAACTCCCAAAAAAAATATTTTAAATATCGCCGCCTGAGAATTAGCTTATTCCATCTCCATTTTTATAATTTTACAGGAGAGCATTTTAAAAATTAGGTTCCTATTATTTTCAATATTGGGCTATAATTTAACTTATTTTGATTTTTTAATGTAAATAGAAAGTTAATTATAAAAATTTAATTATGCAAAAAAAAATATTTTTGACAAAAAGTTGATATGCGACAATATATAGATAAAAAAAATATCGATTTGATCAAAATTTAATATAAAATTTAGCCCTTATGGATTAAATGAATATGTTGGTAGAAATATCTAAAATGTTGGCTAAATGACTTCAATCAGTTTGTAAAAAAATATTGCGGTTTACAAAGTGAGATTATGTATATTTCGTTTAATATTTGATTTGTTTTTGGATATAAAATTTTATATTTCCAATAAAAGAAAACCAACTTTGTATCAATATATAGCAGAGACGTGCAGACCCAGCCCTAAGTCCGGCCTTAATTTTTTTAAATGTCCCTGGCGGGTCTTAAATTTTTTTTAAAAAAAATACCCAGGTCAGACCGTATATTTTAAAATCAAATATTAAATAGCCATTATTAGCTATAAAAATTAAAAATAAATAAAATATATTTTTAAAAAACTTGGGTCAGGCCTGAAATATAAAACCCGTGCCGAAAAAAAATCCGTCGAGCCGGGCCATGGAAATAGTACCTCTACAGGTCTTTGATATATAGCACAGTGTTAATTAAAAGTTATTGAGTAATGATAAATATTCCAAAATAGGTAAAAGAGGAAAAACTAAAAATGGGAAAAAAACAAACTTGTAAGCAGCAACAACCCATGCCAAAGCACATAGAGTCCATGTACACATGATTAGGAATCGAAGCCTTTAGGGAGTCTGCAATGTCAGCTGCGGATCCTAATCCTTCAAAGGTTTCAATGAAAGGTTTGGGAGTATTGTCGTCTTGGTATACTTAAGAAAAATATTATCATAATATGATGTGATATGTATCATATATTCGGACTTATAAGAAATGCGGCAATCAATGAAAATTGTAAATCAATCATAAATTTTTTTAAAAAAATAATTAATAATTATTATCGCAATTACAAGGCAATTCCAAAAACACCGAATTAATTATTAATTTACAATTTTTAATGAGTACTTTTCGTGTACAAATCTAATATACAGTAATAAATTCGCTAAATAACAAAGATAGCTTTAAAACTTTTCATGATATTAAATAAAACTAAAACATGTTTATACTTTCTTTCTCTTTCTTTTGTGATTGAGATAATTAAAATTTTTTTTTACATTCTTAACTATTTTTATCAATTAGTATTGTTAATCGGCTAAGTTGAGTCGACAGCCTAAATTCTAGTCAATTTTTGAGTCGCAAAACTCATTTCAAATTGAGCGGCTCAATGAGTCGCATGAGTCAGCTTCAGAGTAGGCTAAAATTTATTTTGAATCGGCCTGTTATTATTATTTACTCCACGATGAAAATATTGAAAAATTTTAACCATTTTGGTTCGGGAATTTAAATATTTTTAAATTCGAAATGACTTATGTGTATTATTTTAAGAATATGACCATGCTATCATTAATATTTCCTAAACCTCGACATTTCGCTGATAGATGTCCAAACTTTTATGCCATCTATGACAACAATCTTAGGGCTTGCGTAATAACTTTCTGGATAAAATGTTGAGTTGGCCGTTTTTAAAAATTAGCTCAAATCGAGCCGTTTAACAATACTAACCTATTAATATACAATTATTTAGAATTTATATATAAAAAAAAGGATTTTTTTAAAAAATATTCATGCCTAAGTTTAAAAATATTCAGGCCGGACCCGGCTATATTTAAAAAAATTAAGGCCCGTGTCTACTATATTATATATCAATCAGAGACCTTTGGGCCGGGCCGTATTTTAATTTTTCTAAATATACCCGGGCAGGGACTGTATTTTTTTTAAATACCCGGGCCGGGCCTATTTTTAGAACATAATATTTTATATGGCCATTATTATCTAGAAATATTATAAATAAATATAACATATTTTAAAAAAATCCTAAAAATTTTTTTCAAAAAAAAACCTTTTTTATATATATTATTCTAAATAATTGTATTTTAATAGGTAGTATTGTTAAACGGCTCGATTTGAGCCAATTTTTAAAAACGAACTCAACATTTTATCCAAAAAGCCATTATGCAAGCCTTAAGATTGTGGTAATAGATGGCACAAAAGTTTGGACATCTATCAGCGAAATGTCGAGGTTTAGGAAATATTTATGATAGCATGGTCATAAAATCTATAATTACTATAAATCTCAGAACAGCTGTTATTTTCATACATAAGTCATTTCGAATTTAAAAATATTTAAATTCCCGAACCAAAGTGGTTAAATTTTTTTAATATTTTCATCGTGGAGAATAATAATAGATGGCTGATTCAAAAAACTTTAGCCTACTCTGAAACCGACTCATAGACCTCATGCGAAATGAGTTTTGCGACTCCACCTAGTTCAAAGTCATAAAAACGACTATTTAACAAAATTATCAATATTAAATATAATATTCATTTTCTTTTATAATTCATACTTGGTATGTTTATATCAACTTTGCGTCCTTTACGCTGGAGGATATTGGAAGCAAGATTTCTTCGTATATATATTTTTTTTGCAAGGATAAATAAGTGGGGAATGGAAATTAACTAAATTTACAAAAATCTTGGATGAGAATTATTCGCGACTTTGTCAGGAATATAAAGTGAACGCATTTTTCCGGTGCCAGGGGTAGTTGAAGTCGCGGGATCGCAAAAATCTTCGCAGCCCAAACTAAAAGAAAAATTATGCGATAAAATTTTTTATTTAGAAATTTTATCATTTAAATTTAATGATATTAACCGTGGAAATGATGTCAACGTCAAAACGGTTTCTTCTTGCTTCAATACCGCTCTAATAGCGTCTCTCCTAAAAAAATACAATTTTATTCCTAATCCACGTAAAAAATAGAAATCAATATAAAATGAACACCCTGCAAATTCAAGTCCGAGTTCAACCTGACCAAATTGGTCTGGACTCGCCAAGGTAATTTCCGTAAAAATATAAAGATTGATATTACAACACCTCGTTCACTAAATTAAAATATTGGGGTTCAGTAATTAACAAGTTCTTAAACAGTGGTATCGCCAGTCTTTATCATTAAGACTGGGTGTGTTGATAAACGAAGCCATTGGTTCATGATAAAGGTCGGCGATAAATACTTTCGGGTTGGGCAACGTAACTTGTACAAAATTATTTAACAGGCCGGGCCAAAAAAACCATTTCAAAATTTTTAACGGACCGCTTAAGGGTCGGGCCGAGCTCTAGCTCTGATATTTAAAAAAAGATGATATTCCTTAACGGAACAAAAGTTCGAAATTAAATTTTATAAAAAAATATATATACTATACTAATAAATAATGGCGTATTGTATTAAAGCAAAACCTTGATTTCATGTTTGCCTCTACGATATTAAAATAAGCCATGTTACCTAGGTAGGGTAACCCCGGAGTACCTTCGACCATATAAGACGCGAATTCGGGGTGCCACAGGTATTCCGGATTTCTTATACGTAACGAAATTTAATTAGAAATATTTACAAGCAATTGTTTTGCGACCCCATTTTTTCCCAAATTCATTGCTACGTTTAATAATTATTAAAAAGGTTCTAAAAACACCCTTCATATTTAAGAACGAAACTGAGTTATGAATAATGATGTTTAAAAATGATTATATTTTTTTAAACCATTTAAAAGCTATAAAAAATTGTAAATTAAATGTTACGTAATCGAGGTAGCAAAAGTTTTTAGCAAATTTTCTTTTTAAAAAAACTAAAATCATTTATAACGTATTTTCTTATTAAATTCTGAAATATCCTGATTTTGAATGAAAAGAAAAATATATTTCGCTATGTATATAATAATACTCAATTTTGGGGAATTTTTTTAATTACTCATAATTCACATTAATTTTTATTTATCGATTTTCCATTTAAATAATAAATATAAAAAAATCATGGCGATATAGTCTGCTCATGGTTAAAAAAAGTGCTTAAAATGATTTAGGTTTTAAAAATTTACTAAAAATTAGGGTCAATATATCAAAGACCTGGATTTAATAAACTACCTCTATCACATATATTACAACCAAAATTTTAATTTTTTAAAAAAAACATCGCATATATGGAAAAGTTATAATAAATTAAATAGAAAAAAACTTGATTTTAGCTATTTTGTCGGAAAGTTCGGATACGATGTTCTCACCTTTGAGAAGAACTCTCGCCTTTTGCGATTTGTCGTCAAACGATACGAGCATGTATTCTATCTAATAATAATTAATTATAAACTAATCAATCATATACTACTAGTTTGTCGATTTATTAATTGAAAGTGTCCATAAGCCATTTATGCAATTCGACTAATTGTTTTTATTAATCATTATATTAAGGAACATAATAACATTTAATCGACGTGAAAACCACAAAATAGAGCTACAGCTGACTCCTATGTATGGACAATTAAATGCATTTAATGAATGTATTAATTAAAGAGAGTAATCTGGGTAATTCCATGACAAATGGACCAGTGATCCGAACGGCCATTTTAAAAATGGATGAAACTAATCGTGAAAGTTAAATAGATTGTATATTATATATAAATCTAAATTTTAATGCCTTAGCTAAAATATAACCCGAGTTATGGGCCAAAGTTTGATGAGAGCCTTTTTCTTTTTTTAACGAATCTAAATAAACTCAAATACTTTTTGGTCTAAAGTAACAAATTATATATCATTTTGTAGCTCTTATGCTTCTTAAGAAAAAGCAAATATTATTTAAAAAATAACTTCAGTGTCGTTATATTTACCGTAAAACAAAAAAAAATTATTTTGAAAAGTATATTTATTTCCAATATATTTACATATATGAGTAAAAATATTGATGGAGAAAATAAGAATTTAAATTTTATTCAGTTTTTTATAATTTTAGGAATAAAATGATCAATTATAAAGGACGTTTGAAATGATAAAACTACAAATATGTGTATTAATTACACATATATTAAAATATTTAAGTAAAAATATTATTGGAAAAAATATAAATTTAAATTTATTTTATTTTTACGAATAAAAACTCACAATAGAGGGCGCTATCGATAAAAATATTTACAATATATTTTATTTATATCTATTTAAAAATTTCAAGTGTATACAAAAATTTTATAGAAATAAAAATGGTTGTTTAAAAAAATGCATATTTTTATTTATATACATCATAATTTCATTAAAATAGCGCCCTCTATAAATTGATTTATTATTCCTAAAATTATAAAATACTAATTTAAATTCTTATTTTTTCCATTAATATTTTTACTTTAATATTTAAATATATAAGGGATAGACATGTTTGATGAGTTTTATCGTTTCAAACACCCTTTTATATTGATTTTTTTATTCCTAAAATTATAAGAAACTAAATAAAATTTAAATAGTAATTTGATATTCGTTAAAAGAGGAAGGCTCTCATCGAACTTTGAAGATCTAATAATTAAAATAAACAATCTATTTAACCTTCATGCCAAGTTTCATCTAAATGATCGTTCGAAAATCGCGTTACCATCTACCTTTTTTTAGCCATTTTAACCAAAAATTGTCAACTCAGCTTCAGAGTTCTTATATAAAATAGAGCGTAACTTTTTAGAGAAAATAAACTAACTCAAGCACTGGCGTTGTTAAATAGCCCAATAATTGAAAACGGCTAACTCAATATTTTAGCCAAAAAATATTAAGCAAACCTGGAGATTTTGCTCATAAATAGCAGAAAGATAAATCCATTAATCAAATCTCGAGGCTTGCGTATTTGGCTAAAATATTAGGTTATCCGTTTGTTTTTATGTAATTATAGGTATTGTGCCGGCTCAAAAAAAATGAAAGTGAAGGATTAATTATATATTATGTAATTACTAAGCTTTAAATATAATTGTTTCTTATACTAATGGTTATTGGCTAAATTTTTTTAAAAAAATGATTAAATGAAAAAATGTTAAAACTAATTATATATAATATAAAAGATTAGAAAATTATATAATCTGGATTTAATAATATATATTACAAAGAAAAGAAATTTTCCTTTTCAAAATAAAACTATTTAATTAAGTGAATTTTTTCGTTTTAAGGTTCTTAAATTTCAATTATATTTCAAAAAAAAAAATTAAATAATGAAGTGGATAGAATATTATTATATACACATTTAGGTAGTAAATTTTCCAAAAGTTAACGGGGAAAAGCTAGTATACTATTGGGTGTATTTTGAGGCATTTTGAATGTAGCTTTAAGTTATAGTAGCCAAATACACTTTTTTTTAAATCAAATTTTATTTTCTAATTTAAATCTGCACAATTTTAAATAAATTGCTAATATAGAAAATATAATTAATTTATTTTCCAACGACCTCACTTATTTTTTATAAACATAACAAATATAGTTAATTTGTTATTCAACGACCTCGCTTTATTTTTTTTATAAACATAACATATATTGGAGGTTCACTTTTAGGGTTGTGCCAATCCATAAATTTATTACCGATCCGATGCGATATTTTCGGATAAAAAACCGATTCAATATTAATTTGTATTGATTTTTATTAACCATCTATCTTTGAGCTAGTGTTGTTAAACGACTCGATTTGAGCCGATTTTTAAAAACGGCTAACTCAATATTTTGGCAAGAAAAATATTACCTAAACCTCGAGATTTCGCAAATAAATGTCGAAATCGTTGTGCCATCTATGACCAAATTCTTCAGGCTTGCGTTATATTATTCTGGATGAAATATTGAGCTAGCCGTTTTTAAAAATCGCCTCAAATCGAGCCGTTTAACAACACTACTTTGAGCCAATGAAATAAAAATATCATTATTTTTTATGTTTGCAGTGTTAACAGTGAATGTGGTGTTAAAAATTTTATTTAGCTGATTTTTAAAAAGGGCTAAATCAAGATTTTAGCCAAAATATTAATTCTAATAAAGTCCGTGGCGCCAACGAGATAGGGTTTGTCCTTTCGTCTATACCTAAGCCTCAAATTTTCGGCAATAGAAGTTTGGCCAAATCGATCTGTTTATCAACACTCGTTGAATGTGACCCGTTAGATATTTTAAAGTCCTTTTCTTGTTACGGATAATGTAACAAAAAATAGTGTACAATTTTTAACTATTTTATTTTATATTACAATAAATAAATTGTATTTTAGTTCCTTTTTAATTTATTGTTATAAAATTATTAATAAAATATTAAAAAATTGTATATAAAACAATTCGTTATCCGATATTTTTGAAATTACTAAATGTTCCGATCCTATCAGTCACTTCTAACGAAGAGGAATTATATGATTATGAAAATGTAAATTGTACATAATCATATATACAAACAATGAATAATGGCTTGTCTATTTTATTCAGTATAAAGAATTTGCTAATCTAGATGATACATTTTTTAAAAATGATTGATAAAAGCACCAAAAAAAATTCAGTTAGTGGGGAATATATCCTATGTAAGCCCAAAAAAGAATATTATTAAGGGAGCCTTTTCAACCCATAGAAAATTTTAAAACTTACATTGCTGTTAAAACTGGTAGTTACCATAATTAAATTATTTTATCATGAAGCTATGGCCATGATAATAAAACAAAAAATAAATAAACTTCACATGGTATTCGGAAGTTATATTTAGCAATTTTAAAAGAGTATAATTTGATTTTTTGCAAAAGGAGAAGAAAGGTATAATTATGAAGACCTTAGTCCTTTCATATTTACGGTTGGGCGAAAACTCATTTTTACTTAAGTGATTCACTGTGTTTACCTTTTGGTCCAAAAAAAGGCCTGAAAAAATTTATGTCAAATTACTTTGAATGCAATGCAGTAATTTTTAGCTACAATTTCCCATCTATATCATAAAGTAAGATGGGGAATTCCTTTAAACAATATTAAAAAGTATACGCAATAATTTAAAAGAGACGATCATCAAAATCTCTTACTCCTCGTTTTATAATAAGCGCGATTCGCTTAAGTGGCGCGAAATTATTCTATATCTAAATCACAGCTGATTTGTCACGGCATGATATTCTTTTTCCCATTATTGGATAACAAGGTAAATAATAATAATGACTTCTTTATTTTTTTTTGATCATAAAAATCAAGCAACCACAGTTACAACAAACTTCCTTGAAATTAAGTTCCAGTTATACTACAATTTTAGTGATTCGTCATTTGAAATTTAAATCATTCACAAATATTCGTTAATAAAGGTAACATTTTCGAAAATATAATTCAACTTTTCATTTGTGGAATTGGATTTTTTTAAAAAAATTGATCATTATTCAAATAGACAAATTATAATTTTTAAATTTTTATTGCCTTTTTCTAATATGATTATTCTCTAATGATATTTATTCGAATTAAGAAATTATTTTGTCAAATTTCTATTTATAATGTATATCTAAGTCAAATTTTAATAATTTTTTATTGTATTTCGCAAATGATTTTATAATGCAGCTTAGAGAATGTAACTAAATATTTTTTAAATGAATTTGTATCTTAGCAAAATACATTTTCAAAATATTTTGCCCAACTCTGATTAAATATGTTTTGTTATAATGGATTACTTTTTTATATAATGATAAATGCAGCTATCCTTTTTCCTTTATTAAAAAAACTTAGGGAAAGTATTTTAAAAATTAGCTTTAATTTGGACATAGAGTTCATTTATAGTAAAAGCGTTTTTCCAAGTGGTGAGGTATTTAAGGCTGCGTTATTTATAAAATCAAGCCAATAAATTGGTAAAGTTTATAAATATGAAGCGAAACAATGAAATGCCATGATAAAAATTGAAAAACATATGTTGCAATATATATTTCAAAAATTATTATAACAATGAAGAATCACTTAATTCTGATAGCATTAAATACCACACTACTTGAGAGAAAACATGTTTAATATAAATAAGACCAAGATAAAGAAATAAAGAAAAACTATGCTTTCCTATAGTTTAAAAAAAAAGATTTAAAAAATATAATAATAATATAACTAACCTAGACATTTTTCCCCCAAATTCATGAAGCAGACTCATCATGATATTTAGGAAAACACAACTTGAAACTAAATTTATAGGGATCCAAACCAATTTTAGAAATTCTAGGAATTGACTCTGGAACCAGATCTAACAAGAATGCAATTATTTTATAAATATAATGTTCAAAATGTTGTCATTCATTTTAGTGGGTTTATTTATTGTTTTTTCAAACTCTACTTTTATATTATTTTTTCCTTGTGGGAACATTTAAAATTGATATCATATTTGTATTTTTAATCTAAATTGGAAATTATATTTGATAATGGATCCATAAATTGGCTAACATTTAAATGCAATACATTAGATTAGTCATCTTTTTAAGATAGGTCATTTTATTTCTAATTTCAATTTTTTTTATCAAATCCAACTCAGCTGATTAGTTTATAATAGGGGATCAAATTATAATTAAATTTTGAAAAAAATTATTGGGAAAAAAGAAGGAAAAGGATAGGTCCAGCCCTAAGTAAACCGTGAAATGTTATGATTTAAAAAATAAATTACAAACCTAGACTAGGTTTAAAAATATCTTTTTTTCCACACACTCCTATAGGCTAAATGTAATCCTTTTTAAATATACTTAAATTATATAAATTAACTTTTGTAAAATAATATGATGGATCATTTAATATTTATTGATGGTTCAATTTCCCTTTGAAAACTTTTTTTAAATAATAATAATTAAGGGTTGGCCTGGGTAATGATCAAAATATTATAAATTAAGGCTGGGAAAATTTTTTTTAATCTAAATTAAACCTAAAAATCTGATCTCTTCAGTACTTAAATTTATATGGAATAAAGATTAATAAAAATATAATTGTCCATGAACATTCTGACCAGGTGGAAAAAAAATTCCTTGTTCTGAGTCAATGATTCAAATGAGGAATGAATAAAAAATATATAAATTGTGTATATTAAAATTAAAAAAGAAATTTATAATTTTTTTTTATATTTAAATAAATTTTTATTAGTCAAATTGAACGTGAAAAGTAAAACATATATATGTAATTAAAAATCTAATGTAAATTATTTGTAAAATAAAATCTATATAAAAACTGTCTAATAAAAAAAATTAGTATAATAAATTGTATGTTGGGTGGGAGGTCAAAAAAGGGAGCCGTGTATGGCAATGCAGTTAGATCTGCATATATCAATAGATATGCACTGTCAATTATAATTTGCTATATTAATCTTTTGGCTAGTTTATTATTTTATATTAAAAAATTTAATCGATCACTTAATATCTGTAATAGCTATTGAATTAAAAATCAATTGTAATAAAATTATCGAAATTTTACTTCATCGCCCCACATAAGGCATGGTGTATTCCTATCCTTTAACTTGTGATATATATTAATAAACTGCAATATTCCTTGTTCTTTGACAGTTTGTTTATATTTTTTGGTACTATCCCAAGTAAGTGGTATTCCTTTGGACAACAAACCCATGATTTCGCAAAATCTTTAAATTTCAACTTCCGAACCCTGCAAATGCGCAATCATTTTAAAATATAAATTTTAAAAAACATTTTGGTGACATTCAGCACCTGTCACCGTAACCTAGAAATTTTTCACGTGATAAATGATGGTAAATTATGACGTGTCGAAGATCAATTAAGATATATCCTATTTATATATTCTTTTTTAAAAGCAAAATAATTTGTAACTACATTAAAATATCAAACTTTGAATATTATAATATTTTCTATATATTTTTTTTCATTCTTAATATAACAATCATTCAATTTTTTTTTTACATATAAGTTTTCCTTTATATATAAAATGATATATCTGATAAGTTATAGTTAAATAAAGGCGGTTATTTTATAAATATAAAATTAATAAAAATGATAGATGGAGAAATATAAATAGAATAAGTTTGAGAAGGTATCAAGAAATTAAAGCAATGGCAGAAGTATGAGTGATTATTCGATGGAAGAGATGCTTAGATAGTGAGATCTAATAACCGTAGTTGCAAGCTTTGTAATATGAAAAATGTACCCGAACCCCTATGTATAAAGGATCCTGCTCGGTTAAGGTCCTGTGGAAAAATTTATGAAGGTTTCAGTTCGGTTCCTGTTTGTTTAAAATTATAAAAGTTCCTGCTCAGTTAAAATCTTAAAAATTTTAAAGGTATTTTCAGATTTTATAGTATTTATTTATATTTTAAAAAATTTTGATAAAATAATTGTGAAAAAATATTAGATTATATGAAAGATTTGTAAATTCTTGTTATACAATAAAACTCTCCAAAAGTAGAATAAAAATAGAATCATTCACAAAATATTTAATACCCTAACAATTTTCCGTGCAATCCTTTTAGAAAACCATCAAGTAGTGTTCTCGATTCGTTATCATCTATTTTCAAGTGTTCGATAGGAAATGTAATCTTCAATTACCAGTGTACACGACAGGATATTCACTGGAAGACCCCCCCCCCCTCAAAAAGTTATTTTACATGTTTTTAATTATAATTTTCCCCTTCATATATTTCAAAAATAATAACCTAAGTTATAAATATTCTATAACCTCAAAAAATTGTGAGATATTTTTTTTGATCATAAATTTTAAAAAACCCCTCAATTACAATGAATTCTTTATTATAGAATATTATTTGCATGAACATTAGTTAGCTAGTAGAATGTCTAACTCTTTTAAATTACATTTAAAAAGATAGCAGGAAATTATCCAAAAATGAGCTTTATTTAAATAATAATGAATATGTATTTGATAATGATTGATGTTTAACAATCTATTTATATTTTAATAGATCTATAATTAAATTATAAATTATTATAGCAATATATTATCCAAAATCATTAAAATAGATAACACTTTAAATCATTATATTATATTCTACCCCTACCCCCCCCACACACATTATTGTCTACCCCCCTCCTCCAGCCACCTTTTAAAATATTGGATGCGAAATGTTCCTACCCTCCCGCTTATGTAACTGCTTTCAATTTCACCACTCTTATACCTTAGCTGCGTGCGCGTGCTAACTGGCTTTAAAAAAAATTTCCCGAAAAATGGATTCCATATGAAATTTACTTGCCGACCCTTTATTTCACTTAATACCTCACCCCTGGCCCTAATTTAAACAAATAATAATTTTTTAGAATATATTTATAAATAATTAATAATTTACCAAAATTATATAAATATATTCCTAAGGAAATACTTTTATCTTTGAATATTTTGGTTGTCATTTTTGATTTTAAAATCAGAAAAACTTATCCAGAAAGTTTGTTATTGAAATAGTTTAAACTGCAAACCGAAATATTAAGAGAAAACAAATTCTAATGTTTTAAAATTTTCACAACCGTTATATCGAAGCTGGAAGTGAATAAAGTTTTAAAATTTTCCGCAGTTACATAAAGCCTGACCCAAAAAAAAGAAATTTCTTAAGGACTCGTGCTTAACTAATATTTTTTTATACGTTATCATCTATGTTAAAAGGTGATCTAATATGGTTAGTCAAAATATTTTTAATTCTATATTTAATAATATACGGTAAAAATTATGATCAATCTATTATTTTTCTTCTTCAAAAAAAGTGTAAATTGTTTAAATGATTAAAAATTTATATAATTATTTTTTGCGAATACCAGTGTCTTGTACACTGTCTACATGGCGGTGAGGGTAGGAACAGTTTGCATCAAATTTTTTGAGGGGAGGGGGGGGGGGTAGGGAGTAGGCATTTAAGGGGGTAAACTAGGGGTAAAATAAATTTATTGTGGGGGGGGGGATTTTTACATGAATAGGGAAAAATGTATTGCTGTAAAAATTAATACTTTTATTATAGACACCTATTATAATACAATGATATTGCTAAATTGACCAAATCTATATATTGCATTTCTTTTAAAAGTAATCTAAAAGGGTTAGAGATTCTGTCAAAAAACTCATATTCATACCAAACATAAAAATGTATTGATTGTAAATGTGAGTTTTTTAATTGAATTTATGCTCTAAAAAAAATAATACTTTCACAATATTTTATAGTTGTTTTTAGATCATTAATAATTTAAATTATTAGTTTTAAAATTTATCAAGGGACTACTATTATAATTTAAAAGGGATATAAATAATGTAGAAATATCGCCGTCGAAGGTGGGAAATTATGGGGGTTTGTTTTTTTGAGGGAGGTGGGGGTTGCATCCAGTAAATTTCCTGTCATCTAGACGCTGCTTGTTTGCAAATAAGATTTATATGCATAATTTGTGATATTTATGTTTAGCGACTCTATATTTATTTTTATGTAAGCAAAACCTTTGATCACATTTTAAATAAATTTCTAACTACTAAACATATCATAAATTGTTATATTTTCCCTTTAAAATCGTATCCATCATATTTCAGTTCTGATATGGTTTGCTAAAGATGTATCAAAAAAAACTATATTTATGAATTATCAAAGTTATCGAGCCCATTAAATAATGAAAAATATATTTCACAGTCGCAACTCTAATTTTTAAAAGTTAGAGAAGTTAAATATCTATTCACACAACTCTATAATAGAGGCAGGTCAAAATTAATAAATGTAAACTTTGAAATAACCTCCAATTTCAAATTTTGGTTTTCAATTATCGGTGCTGCAAAGTTCATTAAAATCAACCAATAATTATAATATAATTTTAAAATTTAGAATAATAGATATTTTTACTGATTACTAATATAATTCACGGCATTATCATTGCATTGCAAGAGAGACTACGCCTATAAAGAGTCCTTATAATAAATTTGAGTTTATAGGCACTTTTTCATAAAGGTTTATTTAATTAGTTTTTAAGATAGGTCAGATTAGAGAGACTTTTAAATAAATTTCAGACAAAGGGGAGTAATCTAAGTTATAATTTATCACAAAAATATAAAATATATTGTCTCCTTAGCAACAAAAATTTATGTATCTACGCATTATTAGCAACTCATTTATATAAATCTTCATGTTCGGATTCTATTATTAATCAAAATACTAAAAAAAATTTAAATATTACTATTTTTTATAATATTAAAATATCTTAGATCAAATATATTATTTTATGGTTTTCTGAAATGAATTAAACTGGCACAACATGTGACTCTCATCTCATATATTATAAGAGATAACATTTAAAGGCATAGAGAAAGAGAACAATTTCTTACCATTTTTGGTTTTGACAAATGTTTTTCACATACATCATCGTTTATTATTTCTAACTTTTTGATTTCATTTATCACGCAAAACACAGATCGTTTTTGAATTATATCCCTCCCACATGTTTTTACACAAGGTTGCCAATTTCCCGTCCACCAATAAGGTGGACAGGTGTTTATATTACACGGTACCTTTAGAGCTTTAGGTTTAGTTAAATTTCTACACAAGATTTTATTTGACATGATACCACTTTCATCGGCACAGCTGTATATTTCAAATTGAACTCCCATACCGCATGATTTTGAACAAGTTGACCAATCAAATCTTATCCACTTATATTTTTTACTTATATTAATATCTACTCGTTTTTGTGGTTTGTAATAAGTGTATGTTATCCCTTCAGATATATTAGCATTATTATATATTTGTAGAATATATATGGACAGGTTTGTTGGTAAAGGTCCTTTGATATCGATTATTTCTTTTTTATCTTCTTCATAATAATTATAAAATATGCCTTTCATGGAATGTTCGCCATTCCAGGTTATAGTATTATTCCCATTTAATATAAATTCATTACCAGCGACACTCATAGCAAGAAAATTTTGACTCTTGTTAAATTCTGATATTTTGATTGAGGTAGAGCTTTGAGGTATCGTCATTAAATGTTTATAATTCGATTTAGAAATAGAATCGTTTTGATCACTGTCAATAAACAAATTCCCTGCTGATAACTTACATGAAGCATTATTTCCGTTACATACGCCACATGCATCTCGTATAGCGTTACTATTTAACTCGTTGTCACATGCTAATGGATGGCATATCCCATTGATGCATATCCCACTTTCGGGTACTGTTTCAATATTGTTTTCAAAAAAATATTTCTCTTTCTTTTCGTAAATTTTATTAAAATCGCATGGTGAACCATCGTTTAATTTATTGATGAAAGAGTTTTTATCCAAATTAATTCGTGTTTCTTTTTCGGATACACAATTTAACAAACATATAGAGTGTGATGAGAAGGAATATTTGTCAAATGTCCAATTGCTTTCACATTTCTTCATTATATTACATCCATAATCTTGACACTGTAAATCCCTAATATCAACACTATCATTGCAAATATTATGATTACAAACTTTATAGATTTTTTCTCGTCCAAGACAATATTGTCCACCATTTTGAGGGCTACCATTATATATAATTAGATTTAATTTTATCATATTTTAATATACTAAACAAATCTTTTTTTTATTGACATATATTCTGAAGTTACAAAATATATTATTATTAATTTCTTAACATTTAAACCTTGGATTAGAACAGTGCCTTTTTGAAATTGAAATGCCGTTCCCACAACTTCTTGAACATTTTGACCAAGGTAGCCATGGCCCCCATCTGCCATTGATTTTAAAACCTTTCACGTTTTCTGTCGATGTTTGAAAAATATCGACGCATTTTTTATCCAAGCACCATTTATTGGTCCCACACAATGTTCCATCCTCTGTTACCTTCATTTTTGACAAACACTTGCTTCCCACTTTACACCATAAATTGTTGCATATATCCTGAATAGATAATGTTTTAAAAAAAATTCTTTTCAAAATTCACAAATTAATCAAATCGTAAATTAAATTTTAGGTGTGAAAGTTGGTATATATAACAGGTGATCCTAAAAGGTAATGCTTTCACAGGTCCTGGGAGTCGCTACTTTATTAAAAAAACAATCGTAGTAGCCCCACTAAATAAAACCTAGATGAAGCAACTTAGGCTAGCTCCTTAAATTTTATTGCATGAGTTGTTTAAGAATAAATACATTAATAAACGTATTTGAACACAGTAATTATTGAGATATCTTATTTAATTTCGTGAAATTATTTATGTTATATAAAATTTCATTTACATATTTTTTGTATTTTTATTGTCTCATTTATTGTTCGAATATAATTTTATCGGACTATTCATATAACGTAAATTTATCAATAGCTATAGGTGCCAAATAAACACCTAAACCTTCAATTTTTTTTTAAAAAATGAGTTATCCGCAGCTAATGGAATCTTTGGAAAAGATTTATTTTAAAATTATTTATGATGAACTCCATGCGGAAATTGTTGCTTTAACTCCGATTTTATCTAAACTCTGTTTTAGATTTTCGAAAACTTCCTGTAAAATCTCATACATGGAATTAATAAGAGATTTATATTTTTAATAAATAAATATTAATTTTTAAATACTTTTAGGGCGGTTTTCCAAATATATGCAATGATTATAATAAGAGAAAATTAATATTTTATAAGGCAATGTCCCAAATTTTTTTTTGAAAATTCGTATGGTTTAAAAATTTGGGAAAATGAAATCTTACGTTTTTGAAATTTATAAAAGTTTATAAAATTATGTTTTGGGCATGTTTTTATTTTTATATAAAATGGCTTATATATTTGTTTTCTTGAAATAAAATTCAGTAAATAAAAAATATTTTTTTTAGAAGAAGGATCTTTCCTATTCTTATATTTTTTCTTCCTTTGCTATACTCATTAATAACATATACAAATAGCTCGGGTGTAGTCCCACCCTTTTTTACTTCATATCTGGGTTACAAGGTTTGTTGGTATCCTTGAGTAAAAAAATCGGCATAATTATATGAAGGATTGGCCTTCATATAATTCACGTACGCTCACATTTGGGTAGGTCTATGACCAACGTGCTATTAAAGATTAGAGATAAAAATTTATTTTCTTTTAAAGTTCCGAAAGTTTGTGAATTAAATATTTTAGATTTTTGGACACAGCCTAAAAAATAATTCCATAACATGAAATATATAATATATTCTAGATATTTTTATGCTGGAAAATTTTAAAATTATTATTTAATAAATCTTGCAAATTTTAAATAGGGAAATCCCAACCCCTGGCCATATTATGGAATATCCTTTTCCCTCTGGCGCTTCCGTTGAGAAAGTATTCATTTTATATACAGGTTAAGCGTAGTTGTTTATCCAAATAAAAATTTTAAAAAGTTTCTACTTTGAAAATCAAATAAAAGAATAGAAAAACTGTCATTATATAAAATAGAGTCCGGTAGATTCAATTTTTTCCGGCCCAATACATGCCCAAATTTTTTAAAATTAATTTTTAAATAAGAGCCAGGCCAAATTTATTTAAAAATTTATGGGCAGGTCGAGTGATATTTTTAGTGGTTTAATAATGCATTAGGGCATTTTATATTCTTTATTTTTTTAAAAAATACTATAATTTATAAGAATACCATATAAATATTAATTTATTTGGTGCATGTATACTGTATTCGGATTAAAAATTGATTTTAGATTAAAATCAAATTTAAACAAAATTTTGAGTTGGTATCTAATCTAGCTTTATTATTTAAAAAAGTGTCAATGAAAGCTAGCCTTTAAAGGGGTTATAGCATGATTTTTAGATTTAAAATATAGCAACAAATGATCTTTAAGTGTATTACTTCATCACCCTACGTCACAATCTACAATTTTACCAAAAAAAAAAGAATGTTTAGGCTCCTATTCGAAATAGAATTTAAAATAAAAATTAAGTTGATCTAGGACGCGGCTTCATCGTATTACTAATAAATAAGTATATACACCTACCTTTTTAATAATTAAAAATCGCTTATAAATAATTCATCCAGTGGTAATCTAGATCGACATCTTCATTCTAAAACCCCTGATTTTTAGTTTTTTTCCACTTTTATAAATATTTATTTAATTTCTCGGGATATTTAATAATCATATACTAAAAAAATAGTGTACATTTAAAACAATAACTCCTTTTATAATAGTACTATAAATGTATATGAATATAATTATACTTCTATCCCAGGACAGTATGATACGTTAGATAACCCCAAACTGATTTGACATTGTCGATCAATATTAAATATGGTCCCTATATTCAAGCGAGATGTTATATCGGATATTTTACTATTCAATGGTAAATATTCTAGGATGGTAATATACTTAAATAAGAATACCATCTTTTTATCCGTAATGTTTAAGGAATATGTTAAACTTTGATTAAGATTTGTATTAATAGTGTCATTTAATAGGATATTTAGCAATTTATTTTGCCAATTATCCGGCCAAACGTTTAAATTATCATATATTAAAAAATATAGATTCCTGACCTGTAATGAAAGGTTTGTATTGGTTAGACTATTCAATTCATGAAAAACTCTTTCATCAATATAAACAATGAAATGACCCACAGATAATTGTTGCCTGCCTTGTAATTCATTTACCTTTTCAATTAGTGTCATGTTAAAATCTTTAAATAAAATTATATTTTTTTGCTCATTGTCGTTTGTTATTTTAGATATCGTGTTTGATTCTGGTAAACGAATGTTTTTCAAACATTGGGCTTGTTTTCCATAAATGAAATTGCTTAAATCATAATAACTACAATTGGACCACAACAATTCGGCTAATAAATTTTGAGGTAATTGCGAATCCATCACGTAAGGTAATTTAGAGGACGCATTTAAGTTAAAATGTTGACAGTAATCCATATTGTCATGTTTCATTCCCAATCTTGAAATAACAAATATAGTATGTTTTATATTTTTAATTAAAATTTTCTAACAAATGTCCTATTTCGTGGGCTATCGTGAAGGCAGTATTTAGACCAGTGTCCTCAGCAATAACACAACTTCTTGATACTTGACACATTGCTCCAACTTCTGCCAATCCTAAAGTTCCACAAGGGGTGTAATTCTGAGCGCATAAATCTAACCTATTTTATGTTATATGAAATGAATTATTATTTTGTTTTCATATAATAGATAGTATAATTTTATGTTTCTAGTTTTAATAAGCCTTTTAATCGAACTACTATGTTTTTTATTAATCTCAACCTTTTCAATTAATAAATAATATTTAGGAATGAAAATTTTTTCAGAAAAAAACAACGAATTTAACATATTTTTTCTTCTTTTTTTTCATTACTCAACTTTTTATTCGGGAGAAAATTAAGCCAAATAAAATAATTTGCGATCGTAAATAAACTTTCTATTATTATAAACAAGCCATTACAATGCTATTCATATTCAAAAAAGTAATTGCATTGCTATTCATGGTTCCATATAGCAATGTATTTTTTTTTAATTTAAATTATTTAAAATTTTATTTTGATAATATTGATATTGGTATAATTTTTAAAAAAATGATAAAACACTAAAATATTAAAACAACTATATAAAAATATATAAAATTAATATATATTAATAGTATCGAAGGCTCTAAAAAGAGCTTGATTTAATAATGAAAATGTACCTAAAAACAAGTATAATTGTTTTTAAAAATTTCCAATTGAAGTTTTTGTTTAGGAAATAAGGATTCGCGATTTTTGTTTGTTATGCTAAAAAATTTTCGTGATAAAGTTTTTTTAATTCAGTTTTTTTTTTAATTTTTATATATGTTAGCGTCAATGTGTTTTTCCCGACAATGTTATTTTTTATTAAGTTTATCTGAGCGCTTTTTTGAAAATGTTAAAATCTGATTTTACCGGAAATGTATTCCATCATGTTTAGGTACCTAACAGACAAATTTGCTATGAACTTTTGAACTTAATATAATTTAAATTAATCTTTCCATAGATTTTTTTTATATAAATTATAAATGGCTCAAAAGTTAATGGAAAAATTGTCTACAAATTATAAAGTAGGTATTCTAAACATGTTGTAATATATTTCCCCAGAAATCAGATTTTTAAATTTAAAATAAAACAGGCTTAAAAAATGAATTAAAGTTGAAAAAATAACACATTGCTGGAAAAACACATTAACGCTAATATATATGGGCTAGATTTTTATAATCGTTAATTATTTTTTTATATGACCTTTAAAATTCTTTTTTAATAATAAAATTTTGCTTCTTTATTATATTTTTTCCTTTTTTTTCACATCCTTAATAATATCATAATGTTAATTTATATTTAAAAAAGACCTTTTCTGTAATCTGAACTTGTAGAAATTTTACCTCGTTATCAAAATGGCCGTGTTATAAGGTTCGATTATATTTTGAGGTGAAGTAAGGTTTCTGAATAAAAATGATTGCCACTGGCAAAAACTCTTAAGGTAGTCATCGGCGTTTAACGTGATATTTAATTCTTCCGGCTATAGATAAATTAAAAAATATATTAAAGCCATTAATATTTTATAGAAAATTTTTTCCGGGAAAGATTATTGCTCCTTGGAACATAATTTCCTGAGAATTATTTTCTAGAAATCACATTTATGTGCAAATCCATAATAAGACTTAAAAATAGACAATTAATTATATAAAAAAGATATTATAATCGTCAAAAAGAATTTATCTCCATTTAATTATCAGCATTTGTGAATCTGAATATATTTATTATATAAATTACTTTATATGCCATTAAGATAATTCCCGAAACCGTTAAATTTAAGTAAAATCCTATCGTGCTATGGCTATAGATATTTTTTACCTATAATTATTTTTTATAATAAGGAAATAATAGATAATAAGTGCTAACAAATTGAATTTCATTTTGTTTTTTATTTCAAATAACATATTTTAAATGGTAAGGCTGAATTCACATTAAAACACTAAACTTATTGATGCGCATTGCGAAAAATACAAAATGTATAACATTTAAATAGTGTTGTTAAACGGCTCGCTTTGAGCCGATTTTTAAAAACGGCTAACTCAATATTTTAGCCAGAAAAAATATTGCCTGAGCCCGAGATTTGGCTAATAGATGCACAAACCTCTGTTCCTTCTACAAACAAAATCTTCAGGCTTGCGCAATAGTATTCTGGATGTAATATTGGGTTAGCCGTTTTTAAAAATCGGCTCAAATTGAGCCGTTTAGAGCCGTTTAACAACACTACATTTAAATCAATCTTCAATTTATGATCTTAAAAAATTTTTTGATCAAAATTTTTGCCAAAAAAAATGAATTTTCCTTTGTTAGTAAACTAATTCTACGATGATTTCATCAGTAATTGATTCCAGTCCAAATCTATATATCTATTTAGAAGAGCTCATTCAATTATTTTCTACATTTCCTATATAAGTTTTTAATCTTCCTCAAGAATAAAATGCCATTGGCAAGCGATGATCAAAGTATAAAATAATTTTAATCAAGTAAGAAATAACTTTTATATTTGTAAGGACCGTTTTTAGCAAAAATAATGTTACCTATTATTTCACCAAAAGTTGACAAAAGTCTGATTTTTTGGTAAAATTTTGAGGCTTATTAATTAAGCTTCAACCAAAGTTCTAAACAACGCTAAATAGAAGTGGAATAAAAAGTTATAATATTATTTTTACTGATTCTACAATAATATTCGGACGATTGGATTCTCTTGTTGCTAGTAGTGTTGTTAAAGGCTAGATTTGATCCGATTTTTAAAAACGGCTGGCTCAAAATTTTATCCAGAAAAATATTATTGTAAGCCTAAAGATTTTGGTTATAGATGGTAAAAGGTTCGGATATCTATTAGCGAAATCTCGAGGTTTAGGAAATATTTTTGGCTAAAATATTGAGTTAGTCATTTTTAAAAATCTGCTCAAATCGAACAGTTTTAATCACTAGTTGTGAAGCGAGGTATGCGAATATAAAATTCGTAAACCGCTATTTTGAATTTAACAATCTCATGATTTTTAAAAATTTTGAACAATCTCTTTTAGCTCTAAACTAACTATCTGCGATTTTGATGGAGTCAACTAAATCAATATTTTTTAAAAAAAGCTATTGCATAAAATAATACTAGTATAATTAAATTATTTGCTAATGCATTCTAATGCTAAGAAAAATCAAGTTCAGTAAATTTTCTGAAGGAAAAATTTTTTTTCAAGCCATTTTTCCATTTCACAAGGAGCACTCTTAATTGTCCCCTCTAACTCCATATACTTAATGAAGAAATAGTGAGGCTGTTTTTCTCAATTATTTTCGTTTTTTGATTTTTTGTTTTTTTGTTCTTGTTTTGTTTTGATGTTTTTAATTTTTTAAAAAAGAGTTTCGTTATTATTTAATCTGTTTATTCAAAGCTAAATAGCAGGCTAAACTGCCGGCTGTTTAGTAATAAGTGGAATCAGGACAAGGTTTAAAGGCTTTAAAATTTTAATGATCTAGATTTTTGGGCTTGGGGGTGGGGGTTATCCCCCTCCACTGGCTACGCGCCTGGAAAGATTAATGAAAGGAAAGAAAAAACGGATATAAAATAATATTTGACACTATTTCTAATTTTGATACAGCAATGAAAATTAATGATATTATTTAAAATAAATATTCAAATTTTTGTTTAGAAGTTATATAAAATGTTTGAATAAAGAGAAAAAAAACTGTGAAATAATTTGAATTATAATTAAAATATGTTAATAAGTAATCAGTTTTTTTTAAGATCATTGTTTAATTTTTTAGTTTTGCCTGATTCCATGATTTTTGCAAGGTGTGTTCTCCCTTATGTTTTGAATTTGATCTTTGTCAGTATTTGTATCTGCTCTGTTAAAAAAATCTCTATTTATAATAAATTACAATTATTTAAAATTAAAATTTCTTAGTTTATTTTTAATAGCTGTTACATAATAAATTTCATGTAGTAAAATAAATGCTATATTTAAATTATTGCCGAAGATTTTTAAGTTTTCTTATGCGAAAGATGAGCTGTCATTTCATTCCTATTTTGCTGCGAATATTTTCGCATTGCGATTGTCGATGTGAACATAGTCTAACTTTGCGAATTGGTAAATATTTAGTTTTATTTTTAAAATATGCAAAATAATTTGTGTTTTTCTCAATGACATATATAATTCCTAGACTGACGATTCATTCATTAAAAGTGTACATCAATGCAAATCAGCTGGAGACGCCATCTTGGTTACACTAATCATTATTAAAATTTTAAACGAGAGCCTACTTTATTCCTATATCTGATGCAAACTTTTGCTTTTAACGAAGCTTAAAATGCATTTTAATGAATGGATCGTCAGTCTAGGTATTATATATGTCTTTGGTTATTCTCTATATATTTTTTTAGATAATTTCATTTCAATTTAAACAACAATATTGTTTTTTATTTTTGAAATAATGCAAAGCTAAAAGCTTCTGCTCTTTTGTAAATTTTTAAACGATAAAGTATTATTATTACAAAAAAACAGTGAAAACTGAAAGCTTTAAATTTATACGTTTTATAGGAGCCTCCAAGGGGCACAAAAATGACATTTATTAAGGTGTCCCGTGGGACTGTCCCACTCAATGTCTAAAGCCTGTTCACCCCCGATTATGCAATCCAAAATAATTTTTGAATTTTTTTTTAAATATTTAATTTATTTGCTTTGCATGATTGTATAAAATAAAATATTAAACCATTTCCATGATGGATAATAAATATGCCTCAACGTCGTCATCTTTGTAAAAAGCTGTTACCGTGGGATCCGCTACGATCAAAGTTCTAATTTCTAATTTTTCTATTACGGAGTACTTTATCTTAAACAGGTCTTGATTTCGCTCACAATTTTGTGGATATAGAACTGAATATTTTTTTTAAAATGATAATTTGCAAATTTTTAATGCAATTGAACTTAAACTAATCTTTAAAGATTTTGAAACTATCTTATTGTCTTCATTTTGACAAAGGTGTTTCTTCCATTTCAAATATATGTATTTATAAATTCATATCACAAAATCGAGTCACCGCTTATAACTTCAATAGTGTTATTTATAAGTCAGATTCGTGTCAATTTTTAAAAACCTCCCGATTAAAATTATAATAAAAATAATATCATGCAAACCTAGAAAATATCCTCATTTGGGCATCTATTTGCCAAATCTCATAGATTACAGAATAGTATTTTGGATGTAATCTTAAACGGGCCGTTTTAAAAATCAATTCAAATCCGCCTTTTTAACAGCATCTAACATACCCATATAATGCACTTTGTTAAACCAGAGAAGTATCTAGCTTATATCATTTAGATGAATCGACGATATAAATGGATGGGGGAGTCCTCTGGAAATCTTTGAAGATCTGAATATTTTTTTTTGCTAATTATAGAATTTCTGCTTGAAATTTATTATTTGCTCACATTATTTTTTTATAATTGCTAAAAAATTATTTCAGTTATTTTTCAAACAAAATGTGCTCTTTTTTGATTGAAATGGTGTAGTTTTTTAAAAACAAAAATATGAATTCGTTCATATTATATCGATGCGAAATCATTTTGGGAAAAATCCAAACTGTGTAATCAATTATTTTGAAAACTGTAAAACATTTATTCAAAAGCTACAGAGGTTTTGCTAGCTTTTCCAATAAGCGAAAATATAAAATTAGATCTAAAATTATCAAAAAAATAAGACAATTCTATCTAAATAAAAAAATTTTTTAAATCTTTTGCTGACTCTCCAAAGTTATTAGAAGGCTTGAACTCATCTTAGTGTTGTTAATAGGCTCGATTTTTAAATATGGCTAGCCCAATATTTTAGCCAAAAAATTTTACGCAAGAGAGATTTTACTCATAGATGGCACAAGGTTTGGGCATCTAGTAACAAAATCTCGAGGCTTGAGTATATTATTTTGGCTAAAATCTTAATTTAAAACCAACTAATTCGAGCCGTTTAACAACACTAGTTCATCCGCCTTTGTACCATTTCCTAACAACGGTACTGATTTTGAATATATTATAGAGCATTAAAACATTTTTATTTGCAATTTTACTTAAAATGCTAACATATCAAATTTAATAAACAATGCCTAAATTTTAATAAAATGTAATACCACCCATTTTTAAAATATATATTAATCTCCTAACCCGCACCACAGTCCCTCAATCCTCTTAGGCCGAATCTATTCGCGGAGGTTTTAAAAAACTATCCGCCGCTGGATTCGAACTGGTAAAGTTTTTAAATCATGGTATCTAGGTTAATAAGCCACTCATGCCACTCCAAAAAGAAAGTATTTTGTATATAAAGATAATTTATGATGTTATCTAAGATTTTTATAAAAAATCAAGTAAACCAATAACGTTTGACGCTAAATACCATTCCCGCTATTTTATATTCGCCACTGTTCAAGTCAAATGTAGGCAGGCTAGATATATTTTTACCCCTTCCCCCTATCGGGGCCGCTATCTTAAAAAATATAAAAAATCATATGAGTACCTATTATCGAATATATTAAGACATAGCAGAACAGATAGCTAAGATTAAGCATAAGAAAAATAAAAAATTCAAATTAATTATTTTTTTAAAAAACTGATAATGTATTGGTATTTATATCGTTAGTATGGTAATAGAAAACATATGTGTAGATATCATTTTAAAATAATAAAATTAATGTGAGGTATGAAACTTCATATTAACATTTCTCTTATTTTTCATTAAATCCATTTATCCATTTCCTTTATAATAACACTTGAATTTCGCGAAGTTGGCTAATATTTATTACAATAATTTATTTGATTGAAAAAACATATATTATATAATAATATTATCAATATAAAGGGAATAACACGAAGGAAATAACCAATAGTCCCGTTGTTGCTTTGCAAATTGGATTATGATAATTATAAAATTTTACCTGAAAGAACCTAAAAAAATGAGATAATTTTTAATTATATTATAAATTTAAAAAATTATATTAAATAACTGACTAGAATTTTTTTTTAACCTTATCTTGCTCAATTTAGGCCTATAAATGACCAAATATCAAAAAATGTTAAAGGGGACAATTGTATTTTGGCCTACGCGAGAATAGGATATAATTTAGAAAGAACTCGTGCAATTCAATATTGCCATAAGCCTATATTTTTCCATATGAAGGGAGTAAAAAATAAATTCGAGATATGTTTTAAAAAAATATCTAAATGCATGTGCTCACTTATAATTATTGGTCCCATATTCCACAATATCAGGGTGAGCACCTTACCATTACCAAATTTTATGGAACATGAGATAAAATACAAAAATTAGGAACTTTACAAGGTGATGAAAAACAAGCTAACGCGATATAATAAACTTTAAAGGTAAAAGAGCATATTAAATAGTCAAAATATGTCGAAAGTAAAAAATTCCATAAGAAATAATCAGATTTTGCAAGTTGTTGAAATGGGCTATATTCACCTTGCCCCCTACAAAACATCAAAAATTTTAAAAACCTGTTTTTCAAAAAGCAGAGCAGAACAAAGAAACATTTAATGATTAATTTTGAAATACACAGAAATCAAATTTAGGAAATATATTTTTTAAACCTCCTTGGCTCAATCAAATTAGTTAACCAATTTTGTTGGCTATTTAATTTGTTAACCTAATCCACCAACCCAACCCGTAAGTTGGGTAGAATAATCGTGATTATTTTTATTTTGGGGTGACTCGGGTTTAGAATATTTTTTACGATTTAAAATTTAATCAATTTGTACCTTCTGCATTTAAATATGAATTGGTAATTTTTTTTAAAAAAAAATTTCATATTACCTAATAGTCTTCATTCATATTATAAATTATTTATAATTTACTAGAAAATATTACACAAAAATTTTCTAATTCCTATTCTATGCTTGATTATTTCAGAATTCAATTTTTTTTTTAAATGGCGAACCTAGATCGTTATTCTATACCTTTTTTTTAAAAAAAAGCTTAGGTAATTTAGGTTTTTCTTTAAAGAGCCGCCATGTTAATTTTCTCTCCGGGCTGCTAAAAGGTCAAAGCACAACTCTGTGGGAAACATATAATTAATTTTCATAAGTTCAGGTTGTGTTGTAGGTTTGGTTGTGAAAAAGTTTTTCCTATGGATCTGGTAGAATTGGTTCTAAATAATTAGTCTCTTGCAAGTCTCTAAGCTACTTTAACTAGCCCAAATTCTTATCAGAATTACAGCTACTAGAAAGGGCGAATCTTAGGTTAATAATTTTAACGCGTTTGACCCTTACGTTTAAAAAAAAAGAATTTTTAACTATGTAGAATTGTTGTTCCTGAGTCAAAAGATCTGGAATTAAAGGTATATAAACTTCTTTTTTAAAAATTTTTTTTTATCTAGGCATATATTAGGCCTTACCTCATTTATATAAATCAAATGAAAATATTTATCTGTTCCTAGAAATTTCATATAGACTAACTAACCATAGCCCTAAGGTCTCAATCAAAAAATTGTTTGTCGGACATAGAGTCGAGGATGGAGATAAAAATAAATCTACATATCTCAAGAGTTATTCTTTGTCTGAGAAAATTTTCATTGGAAAGTTTTTAAAAATAGAATTTCATCTTTGCCGAAGTTAATATGGTATTAACAAAAGGATTTAATTTTTTAAATTGTAACTGCTTTTTTAAAAATAAAAAATTTACTAAAAAAAAAAGTTTTTTAAATCTAAATGTGTCAAATTTTAAAGGTAATATTTTTAAAATATAAATTAAAATCCACAAAAAAAATTTTTTTTTTTTCCGTTTTTTCATTTACAGTGTTGTGCAGATTTGATGCAAAACATTTCCATATTTTTTAATTTATTTGCAAATATAATTATTTGAGTTGCAAAGAATTGTTACAATAACATATTTATATGTTCTTATCAAATTTTACAAGTTAAATAATTTTATTTACAAACGAATTAAAAAATATGGAAATGTTTTATATTAAATATACACAACACTGTAAAATAACAATCATATATTTGCTACCACAATTTATTTTTTGGAGCTTCTGGCTCCAAACTCTCATACAGATGGTATGATTACATTAAATTCATGGAGCCAACAATAAAGGATAGAAACACTACGATAATTTTAGACCCAAAGAAATTATACCAAAGCCAAGTGTGTTAAAAGTAAATGCATTGTTGGGTGAAAGAATGTTGACTCTTTTGGAAAGGGTGCCTTCTGAGAGCCAGTAAAATATATATTTATCCATAAATTTAACATTATTATAGATTGTATCTCCAATCAATACAATTCAAACATTTTTTTCAAAAATGAAGTATCTCGATTGTATCATACTTTAATTGATCAATCAGAGGATCCAAATACCACAATTGAATTATCACCTCCAAATTCAACAGATATACATGCAAATCAAACCTCATTTGATTAATGAAATTATATCTATGTTGAAAATTGATTTGTTTTTATTTGTAAATCTATTTACTTATATATAATAAAGCTGTATTATTCCATATTCTAGTGTCCATTTTTGAAAAATATAATTAAAATTATTTTATTAAATAAGACATTTAATGTTCTAGTGTACATTTTTATTATTAAAGATCGAAAAATGTAATTAAAATTATTTTATTAAAAATTAGACAACTTAAAATTATTTTGTAAAATATATATAAGCAACTATTCAAGATTTATATAAATTTGATTTGCAATATTTCTAAATCTATTTATTTTTATTAAAGATTCTTATTCAATTTCTAGTAGACTTCTTATAACTTCTAGATTGGGTTAATTAAACGATAAAATACTTATAATTTTATTTCTATATATTCTTTATAACCAAAATTATTTTATATAAAAAAATTCCTCTTATAAAAAAAATCCTCTTTTTTACGCGAAAAAAATTAACTAAAAAACATTTTTTTCTTCTTCAAATAAAAATAAATTACAACCTTCACATTATCTCTTTTTCATATATAAAAATACAATATATCTTTGACATCATTTCTTTTTCATATAAAAATACAATATATCCTTGACATTATTGTAATAATAATTTAAATACACATAATACTACAACACGCCCCCTTAACAAAAATCCTGGGCAAAATTATATATATTTTTTTTTATATCACTATGCAAAAAAAAATTAATCAGCGTATAAGCATTCAATAAATGATTCCCATATTTTTTTGTTTAAACAATATTTTTATGTCTGTATTTCTTCTTTATCACTTCATACACTCAATCAGATCTTGATAATCATCCCAGTATTGTTTTTAGAAGGTCGATTCTAACGTTGCCATCCTCCTTTCTTTTAGGCGATTTTCGTAGTATCCGTCATAACTTGATGTCCTCCTAACATAGTGTCTTTCCTCTTTTACGTTGGACATACGATGTACGTGGGTAGTGGTTGCTTCTTGATTACACGATTATTTATACCATTGAAACCATTGAAATCTACATCTTTATTAACCAGGAACTATCCTTAAATATTTTCTTTTTTTACAATTTCCTCTTTCAACCATTTCTATGCACTCTTTTCCGTAACTGATCCCTGTGCCTGACACCTTCACTGTTATCATCAAATTTTACCCTATTTAATTTGTTTTCCAAATTTTCTATTACTACACCTTTCTCCCATTTTTTGGTACTTCCATATAATCTAATCCATACTAACTGTCCTACAGTATATTCCAATTCCCTTCTATCAATATCCTCAACAATTACATTCGTTTTACAAGATACTAACATATCCAAAAACATTCTTACCTTCCGGCCTATCATTTTTTCTGCCGGAGACAAACCATCATAACCCATCGCATTATTATAATACAAATGCTTCACCCATATTTCTCCTTTTCCACTTTTGGTTTTCTTCAACCATCCTTTAACCGTCGCTACCATCCGTTCCGCTGTCCATTGGAACTGGGATGATACGGTGGCGTTAACACATGATATACACCCGTTTTTTCACAGAATCTCTTGAATTCTTACCCGATAAAAGCTGGTCCACCATCCGATACCACAGTTTTCGGAATACCAAACTTCGACCATACTTTTTTAAAATGTTTAATCACAATATTCGCTGCCAACCCATGAATTTCTTCAAATTCTACCCATTTGGAGAACGCATCTACACTTAATATATACTTTTTCCTTTATATTCGAAAAAATCAACATGAACCCTCTCTCCTGGTTCTACAACTTTTGGCCATTATTTTTATCTTTACGGGGCATGTCAGATCATGCTTTGCAAATCTCACATTTTTTTCCCAATTTATCAATATCCTCGTTCATTTTCGGCCACCATCCTTACTCTCTTCCCCATTGTTTCATACGAGTAAATCCTTGATGACCCGCATGTATAACATTTAAAATTTTCTCCCTCAATTTCCGGGGTATAACAGCTCGGGGTCCCCTCATAATACAATCGTCCACTATAGTTAATTCTGTTTTAATATTTTTGAAAACTTTATCATCATCTTTTCATGATCTCTTTCCCATTAGACATAATTTAACTACCGCTAATTCTCTATCTTTCCTTGTAAACCTTTGTATATCTTCCCATGTCGTTGGGCTACCCTTTATACTTCTCATTACCGTACGTACAAGACATTTTTCCCGATTATCAATTTTCAAAATCACCGATTCATCCAAATTTTCGCCCGCACCTAACCTCGACAAAATAGGTAACTGGTTCTCTTCCTTCGATATTTTAAATCCAAATCAAAATTCCTACTAACAATAACTATCGCTGAAGTCGAGGTGATAACGTCAACTCTTTGTTATCTTTCTTAAATAAATGTATCAACGGCTTATAATCTGTAAAAACAACAAACTTCCTACCTATAAGGTATTCACGACATTTTGTTAATCCAAAAATCACAGCTAAAGCCTCCTGTTTTATCACTGAATACCGCTTTTCTACCTCTCGAAACACTCTCGAGAAAAATAAGACAGGTCTTTCCATTCCATCTATCAAATGCAACATCGCCCCACCTACTCCTCTATTACATGCATCTACAGCCAAAACTACTTCCAGATCACTATTAAAACATACTAGAATGGGCTCTTTCCCAATTCTCTCTTTTAACGTTCTGAACGCAATCTCTTGTTCATCTTTCCATTCAAAATATACCCCTTTCCTTAATAATTCATATAAAAGAGCAGCTATTTCCGCAAAACTCGATATAAACCGATGGTAATAATTTACCATTCCCATAAACGGCTGGACCTCTACTTTACTGGTCGGCCTATTCAAATTCGCAAACTCAACAAATTCTTATCTAACGGTTTTACCTCCATTCCATTAATTCTATGACCCAAATACGTCACTTCAGTTAATCCCAACACACTCTTTTTACGACTCGCCTTTAATCCTTTATTTCGAATTCTAATAAATACTTCTTCTAGCCTATCATCATGTTGTTTCATCGTTATTCCTACAACCAAAACATCATCCATATAATAAAAAACACCCTCTAAACCTTGGAAAACAGCAGCTATTGTCCGCTGAAAAATAGGGGCTGATACACTTAACCCAAATGGTAATCGACAAAACGTAAACAAGCCCTTGAATGTCGTAATCGTCAACAACTTCCTAGTCGTTTTTGCCATCGGTAATTGCAAATATGCACATGAAAAATCAATCTTGGAAAAATATTTTCCCCCTTTCAAACTGGCCACATTTCTTCTATTCAAGGTAACGGATATTTCACCTCTACAACCCAGGTTTCAAGGTCACCCTAAAATCTGCACATAACCTCAACTTTCCATTGGCCTTTTTAACAGGAATCAACGGAGTTGCCCATTCACTGTAACAATAGGACAAATAATTCCATCTCTCACCCAGTTATCCAACTCTTTTTCCATTTCCGCCCTCCATTCAAATGGAACTCTTCGCACCGGACAATACTGCGGTACAAAACCTTTCTTTAAACGGAGATCAACTTCATAATCCACTAAACACCCTAATTTCTCCTCAAAAATTTAACTATAACTATTCATTAAAACTGCCACTGTAAGCCTCCAATTTTCAAAACTCGACAATTGTTCCTTTCCTTCCCCTCCATTAATCTCTTTTTCCTCTTTTTTTCTTACAAATTTCGCCGGGAAATTCTGTAACATGGTATATCTTTTTTTTCATTATCCAGTTCCTTACACATTTCTTGACTAATAATTTTCTCCTCTATTTCTTCTGTTTTCGTGACTATTTTTATTTCATTGTTATTTTGCTCATTAATACATTTTCTACAAGGTATATCTTTTTTTTACCACTCTAGGCTTGTCATTTTCCATAATATTAACACTTTGCGACAACTCAGTATATCCTACCTTTCTTTTTTTAACTGGAACTATCCGCGTTTGAGACATATTTTCTTTTACAAACTCACTTTTCCGATTACCCATCATACCATTTCCAATGATTTCATCTTATATATCACACAATTCTCGATTTTCTATTTCAATGTTCTGAACTTCAACCATTTCATCTCGTTTAATTTCATTTGAAAAAATACCCCAAAAATTATTTAATGGACCAATCTTAACAATCCATTCCCACCCCATAATCGTCTCCACTTTTCTATCAACAATCCACAAATTTAAATAATTAACTATACCATTTATCACAAACGGTACTTCAATTTTTCCTAAAATTTATTTCCGATCCGTCAAACTGTTTAACTATCATCTCCTCTTTAATTATATTCTCTTCTGGCCAATATTTACAATAATTTTCATAACTTACAATCGATATCGCAGCACCTGTATCCAATAGCATAGATATTTCTCTACTTCCTACAACTACTTCCTTACGAGGACATTTATCCTTCTCACTTTTGTCCTCTAATTTTAAAATAGGAATTCTATAATTTTTTATATTTTCACTATTTACCAAATTTACATTTCTTTTATCTACTAAATTTCTTTTAACTTCTACATCTCTACTCACACGAAATTTCATTTCATTCTTTAATGTAATAACTTCCATTTTATTATTTTCGCTATCATTTAGTCACCACTCTCGACATTCTATAGCACGATGTCCTTCCTTCCTGCACTTAAAACACATAATTTCATCTTTACCTTCTTTCAAAATATCACTATTTTGTATCATTATTACATTAGATGCCGGTGCTAAGTATTTCACTGCCGGAAATGCTTCCCCATTTATCGGTTCTCTTACATAACAATTCTCTTTAGCATGTCCCATTTTTCCACATCTTTCACATTGAAATGTTTTTTGATTATTTCCAATAATACGATACGTCGGAACATAACATTTTTCACTACTATGCCCAACTCCTCCACATCTATTACATTTAATCGGTTGCTTGTTAAACATTGCACCGTTCTGCACACAATTTCTACTTATATGCCCCAATTTTCCACATGAATAACATCTTACATTTTGCATATTAATCTTTGGACGTATTTCGGAAAAAATTTTCTTTTTCCCAATTTTCCTTTTCATTTCTCTGCAAGTTCATTGACGTATTATACTCTTTAAAATGATCGTATTCCTTATCATTTCTTCGATCATCTCTTTTGAAATCCCTTTCATCATACCTTCTCTCACAATTTCCTCCATGACTATAATTATTTCGTTTATCATCTCTCATTCCATTTTCATCTTTAATCTATATTTTTCTTTTATTATCAATAACTTTTCGTTCCTCTCCCGATCTAATAATATTGATACTTTTCCTCATTCCTTCTATCATATTTTCATTTAACATTTTCCATATTTCATCCTTTAAATTTAACCTCTCTTCCGTAATTCTTTCATTTTCATTAGCGTTTTTTACTTCCCTTTCATTTTTTCCTTTTTCAATTTCATTACTTTTTATTTCAATTTCCTCCGTAATTTTTATTCTATCTCTTTCTATAATTTTTTTTATTTTTTTCCGATGTAACATAATACCAATTATCCATAAACATATCACTACTACAGCTATAATACAATTATTTCTCTGTGGAACCATTTTCACATATTTTGAGTTTTTATACTTCTTTTATAATTAAACATTTATTCTTTATCCATATAAAAAAATTTATTAAAATTTTTATTATAAATATTTTAACATTGCTAAAGGTTAGACAATAAATTAAACTTAATATAACTAATAATATCAAAATTATATAAATGCACATCATTTAATATATTCCAAAAAATTTTTACCTTTTATTTTTAAGAATCCAATTTATTTGCCTTGTGTCCCAGTTATTGTTCTAGGTTCATGCACCACTTTTTGTAGACTTCTTATAACTTCTTGTAGATTGGGTTAATACAATAAAATACTTATAATTTTATTTCTATAATGTATTCTTTATAACCAAAATTATTTTATATAAAAATAAATCCTATTTTTTACTCGTTCTTCAAATAAAAATAAATTACAACCTTCACATTATCTCTTTTTCATATATAAAAATACAATATATCTTTGACATCATTTCTTTTTCATATAAAAATACAATATATCCTTGACATTATTGTAATAATAATTTAAATACACATAATACTACAACATATATAAATAAGCAAATATTCAAAATTTATTTAGCATTTTTATTAAAATAAAATAAATATATATATTAAGGTAGCAGTGGCCAATGAGGTGGGGGAGGTCCCCATAAGCTCCGAAAAAATTTCTTTAATAATTATTGCCAATAATTTTATTTATAAAACGGAAATAAAAATAATATGTACGAATCAAAATGAAATATATTTAAAATAACAAACCAGACTTTTCAATTTTAAATGATCACATGGTTTAAATTAAAAATTTGGAATTCATTTTATTTGGAGCATTAAAAATTTATTAAAACCAAAAATATTTAGTAAGTGTTCGGTTTTGAGCTCGGCATTTGGTCAAATCATAATATTTCAATCGGTTATCGGTCAAATCTCGATATTTTTAAATTATTTTATGGGATATTTTATACGTATTTATAGATAAATAAAACAAAAATGAACATTTTTACTAGCAAATTTGGTCAATCGAATATTTAGTAAGTGGTCGGTTTTGAGCTCAGCATTCGGTCAAATCATAATATTCAAAATATTTTTCACCTAAATGTACACGTGTAAACCAAAAATGAAGAGATTTTGATCAATAACGGCAGCAATATGTGCCTTACAAGTTTACTATTCTAAACCCACTCATTGAAAAACCTATCTGTTGGATTATGCAAATTTAGTTATAAGATATTTATGGAACAAAATTAATTTAAATGATGGATTTTTATTTTATGTGTTTATTTCTTCGAAAATAATATTTGTATATGCAAAATAAATTTTACATTTTTTTATAGTTTATGGAACAAAATTAATTTAAATGATGGATTTTTATTTTATGTGATTATTTCTTCGAAAAATTATTATTTTAATATGCAAATACTTATAATGTTTAATGGCTATAAAAAAATATATAAATAGCTAAGAAAAATAATTATATTTTAACGGATGATATTTTAAAAATTAATTTAATAAAAGGATTACAGACGATATTTTGTTTCTTCGAAATTTGTGTGAAATTTAATAAAAAGGAAAGATTTAATACAGAAAAAGTAAGTCTACGATTTAATAAATTAGAATTATTTAAAGGAGTTACATTATATATTTTAGGTGTGCTCAAAAGTAAGTAGTTAGCCATCGTTATTATTAAAATTAATCCTTTATTTTAATTATATAGATTTAATACACCTTTGATTCTTAATAAGCTCTCCCAATACTGTGTTAACACCCTGAGTTAAGTTCGGACTTGTAACACTATCTTTTTTTAAAAAAATTTAGGTTTTTCACATGTAATACCCAAATATTAAAAAAGCCCTTACCAATAATCTTTCTGGTTTCCTAAGATGATATTTTCATATATATGCATTTAAAGCCCTCTTATGGATATGTATTATATTTTAAAAATGTAAAATAAAATTTGAGTTGTAATAAGTGAGTAAATATATTTTTTTTCCAATAATATTAAGTAAAAATAGAATTCTAAATTATTTGATATTTAATCTAAATTTTTTATTTAATCAAAAATAGATTTATTTATATTAAAAAAATTGTTTCTGAAAATTATTTTTAAAAAAGGATTGTATAATCAAATTTGGTTTATGATTAATAATTGCTTTTTAGCAATGCAGTATTTAGTCATACCGTAATTAATATTGTTAAACAAGTTTTTAAAATTTTAATTTATTTTTTATAATTTTTAATTAAAAGAAAAATCGTTTAATTTTGTAAAAACAAACAGCAAGTTTTATTTTCTTTAGCTGGTTGAGTCTGAATTGTTGATTACACCTGAAGCGCGAGAGGATATTAAGAAAATCTTAGAGTTTTACTCTGATGATTTTTAATGTGATGTCAAATTTTGATATAAAAATCTTGAATAAAATACTCTTTGAGACCAAGAAATGCTTTGCAGGCCTTTTCCATGTGTAATTGAACTTTAGATTCCCTGCCTAATATCAAAACTTTGTTTTTCTTATTTTAGTTACCTTACCGTAGCTGCACAAATTAAAGGTCTATTTCAACTTTGAAAAGGTTAAAAACCTATTTAAGAAATAACACCGGCGAAAACCATTTAAATAGTTTAGCAGCCCTATTAAATATTTATAAGGAGATTATTCTAGATAAAAATTTGGTTCTAGATAATTTAAATCTCAGAGAAAAGTAGATCTCTCTTTATAAATTTAAATCATAAAATTGCAATATGATTATAATATGTTCTTAGTCATAAAATTTTTATATGCAAAACTTAATTATAATAAATTCTTAGTCATAATATTTATATATTTTTTATATTATACTATTTTTAATAAAAGTATTGCATTTGCAATATGATTTAATTATATTTTGATAATATAATCATTTATATCTATATTATAATTTTCCGATGTCCTCACTACGTCATCGTGACGTCATGTCATCGCTACGTCATGTCATCGCTAAGTCATGTCATCGTTACGTCATGTCATCGGTACGTATTTATTTATTTATTTTTTATTTGTTGATTTTATTTATTTATTTTATACAAACAGATGATCCTATAACTCATATTTTCTATGCAACTGTAGGAGGCCATATTAAAACCAAAAAGTAATACATTATTTACTTAATATTACAAATTATTAATATTTTATATCTCTAGGCTTGGGAAATTTTTACCAAAATTAATGCAACTGTAGGAGGCACTATATTAGGAAGCATATAATTAAAGAAGCATATAATTATAAAAAAATTTATCAAGCCCAGCAACCCTTAATAATTTGTAAAAGATATTCCCATGTCCATTGATCAAGTCTTGAGTTTATACCAATGTTTATACATAGGAAAGTAATACATTATTTACTAAATATTACAAATTATTAAGATAGCCCATCAAAAATGATGGGGAATGAAATTTTTATTCATTTTTTACGATAGTGTCATGCCATGCCAGGTCCAAGCTCACAATATTAGCAATCATATAATTAAAAAAAGATTTATCAAGCCCAGCTCAACCCTTAATAATTTGTAAAAGATATTCCCATGTCAGGTGCAAGCTATTATTAATTTTGAGATTCCAAACCCTCGTATCCAATATAATTTTAAAAATTTTTTCCCAAATCGGAGATAGTTAAATTTTTAATTGATTTATCATCACATGAAGGGTAAATTAAAATGTAAAAAAAAACATAAATAATATTAGGGCAGACCTTATTTTGTCATGATTCTCTTTTATACCAATGTCTATACATAGGAAAGTAATACATTATTTACTAAATATTACAATCAAAAATAGGGGAATGAGATTATTCATTTTTTACGATCCAGGTCCAAGCTCACAATATTAGGAAGCATATAATTATAAAAAAGTTTATCCAGCCCTGCTCAACCCTTAATAATTTGTTAAAGATATTCCCATGTCAGGTGCAAGCTAATATAAATTTTGAGGTTCCAAGCCCAGTAGTATCCAATATAATTTTGAAAATTTTTTTCCACCTCGGAGATAGTTAAATTTTTAATTGATTTATCATCACATGAAGGGGAATTATCTGATTTACCAATTAGTTTAAGATGTAAAAAAAACATGTGAATTCCGTATTAAGGGAAACTGGGCCTGGGCTAGAGGTCTGCATTGGTCGGGTTTTCTGACCGCCCGTCCACGCCCGCCCATCTAATAGGGCGGGCGGACGGGCGGGTAAAATTTTTTTAAAAACAGGCAGGCAGGTGGGCGGGTTAAAAAAATTTTTAACAATGGGCGGGTGGGCGGGCGGGTTAAGAAATTTAAACAATGGGCGGGCGGGTGGGTTAAAAAAATTAAAAATTTTTATTTTAATTAATAAAAAATTGTTCTTACGAACTTAAAAAATAAAAAGCCTTTTTCTGGTATAACTTTTTATAAAATAAATCAACTTTTTTCTTCAATT